TGAACTTGAGCTTCGTGATGAGTCTGGAATATGGACAATTTCTATTACTTCAAAATACTGAAGATGATACCTCAATTATATTTGTGGAATATTCTTTATCAGCCTTTGACAAATTTTGTAAATTATTTTAGTAATTGCCATGGGATATGTATCTGTTATTAGCTTGTATTTTTGCTTTTGAATATTTACCTCTATTCAGCTTAATCTGTTTATAGATTTGTTAGATGTTTATGTATGTAAGAGTGACTATTATATTAGGCCTATTATTATTATTATTATTTATTATTATTATTATTATTATTATTATTATTATTTTTATCATTATTATTATTATTATTATTATTATTATTATTATTATTATTATTATTATTATTATTATTTGTTTTTCCATTATGTTGAATTGTTCACCAGTAAATGCCAAGTCAATAAACGAGTGCATGTTTTGTTAGTATACCTTATGTTATAATTGTTATTTTCCATTTAATTAAATTAGATATATGCTTAAATTGTGCACAGTGCACACTAAGAGCAGACAAGATGGACAGAAATTATCTTGATAAAATCATTCAATAAAACTTTGAAAAGAAGTACAATGGGCTTAATCCTTGAAAAGAAGCCCATCTCGATATACTTTGATTTTCTTTAAAAAATATCGGTGTTTTTTTTTCTTTTATTAAACAAAATTTACCGTAAAATGATTCAAAATGTGTTCAATGGTCCTATTGTTTTATAATAGCAATTCCCAATACCTGCTAATACTTACAACAATCATTTTGAAACGAAGACCTCCTCTTTAGCTCGGGATTGTGATCAGAGCTTTCAACCTTCGCTGTGAATTTCACTTGCGTACTGGGACAATCCGCATCAAGGACTTGTACATTATTCATCTCCACCCAGAAGTATAAGTCGGTACTTGGTAGGCTCAAACAAAGACTATGGTATAATGTGATAAGCGCATAGAGGGCTAATACAAAATGTTCAATAATGATTTTTATAATTTAATTAGTGATACATTAGCCTCTACACGAATCATATAACACTGGAAGTATTCATAAGGCTCACTTTAAACGCAGTATCACAAAGCACGAAAAGTATTTATATACCAGATCACATGTTTCCTTATCTTATATCCTTTTACTTTTTAGGTCTACTTAAAACTTTCCTAATAATCCCTTCAACGGAAGTTCATATGTTTATATATCCAAAAGTGTTATTTCACAGTTCAAACATCGCATAACCTTTCTCTGTATGGATATGTTATTAAAGTTTACTTATAATCACGATGATTTACAATAGATTATAACGCAACAAAAGCAGTCAGCTACGAATTGTTTGATCATGACGTTTAACTGTACAGTTGCTTGGCTTGACCAAAGACTTTTACTGTACAGTTAACAGTATTTGGTTTGTCGATTACAATTCATCACATTTGTTAGACCTGGAAGTATTCAGCAAAGAAACATCCACGAATATTTGAATGGCAAGTACCATACGTATTATTTTACTTAATAATATTTAATAATAATAGTAATATTTAATACTATTATTGTTTATTGTTATTATTTTATGATTATGATTATTATTATTACTATTATTAATAACAATTAATTTTAATGTTATACATAAAAACGTGTTTATATAAAATTATAAACAGTATTCACGAAAATAAGTATATAGTTTACACGCTCGTGTATACTGTACTTACTGTAATCATCATTTTAAAAGTAGGCTATTTAAATATTTGTCGAAAACTGTTGGTAGATTATGAATATTTATATTGAGGCTATTCTATATGGTATGGTCGCTCCTCGATATGAAAATCGTTGTTTTTGTAGTAAATATGTGACAGAGGAATTAACAGATTGGTGTCGCTCCGTCTAAAATTATAAATAAAATTATTGTATGTAAAGAAATTATTTAAATATAATGGAGCATGTTGTCCTTTAATTACTTTATAAATAAGCATAAAACATTAATACACCTTGGTCTGAAAGAGAACACCAATTTACCTTCGGCAATACCTCTGGTGTGTCCCATTTAAAATTTCGTTCTATTTTGTATAATCTGTATCCTGTTTAGGGAAGTTTGAGCACAGTTTGCCCAGACTGCTTTCAAAATGATTTAAGGAAAGTAATAGCTGCATCTTCCGAGCACACCCAGTCCTTCCAGGGTATTTTCAAGGATGCCTTTAATGTCATTTTTCCATTTTAATTTACTTTGACTCTAAGATGCTTACTGCATGCGTATATAAAATATTTTCTCATGCTGCGGCACTTTAATGTTATCTATATTTACAGATTTGCTTTATTTTTAGTATTTGATAGTCTTTTACTTGAACCGATTAACATAAATTCCAACTTTGAAACACACTTAATCTGTTACTGTTTAACTAATCATGAATTTGAAAATGTTCCTCATTTATGGTTCGGTATATACGGTACTAGTTACTGGGTATGTAGTTTCTTCATCTTTGAAAACGAGCGTCACCTTCGCTAATTTAAGGTACATGTTGTGAAAGTGTGATTTATTATGTGCAGGGACGTAGCCAGGATTTTGAAAGTGGGGGGGGGGGCCGTTATGCGAATTACGTATGACCCCGGCGGGGTCAAGGGTGGCGAATCCCCCTGTAAAGTAACGCACTCTGAACGTTCTTCGGACTGTTTAAGAGAATAAAGTGAAAATTGCAATAGACGCATTATAAATAAGCACAAAAATAATTATATAATAAAAATCAACAGTGTCAGATCCAGGAATTCGAAAGAGAGGTGAAGCAGTGAGGGACTTTCACAGACCGAAGAACCACCCACCTCAACCCCACCATTGTTGGGGCTGAGGTAAGAAAATTTATGATTAGGGCATCTCTAGATGGCCGGAAATTACACTCTCGCACTTCAATTTGAATATACTCTCGAACTTCAATTTGAATACATTTTTCTTTTTTTTTTCCTTAAAAAAATGAAGAGTGGGGAGTGGGGGCTTGTATCCACCTCTGCTCTAAACATTCTTTATCCAGAATAGTCATAATCACGAAAAATGTACCGTAGATGAGAAACCAGATAACATCCTAAAAACAAACAGCAGTCAAAGACATACATCAGGAGCCGACTCGATGGAGTTTAATGTCATACCCAGGGAAGGGCACAGATCTGTTTTGAAAGGTGGAGGGGGAGGGCATTTTGTGAGTCGACACCCACCTCAGCCCCACAATGGTTGGAGCTGAGGTGAGAAAATTTGAGGAAATAGTACCAGAAATGACACTTTTAGTAAAATTCATCATCATCACATCACCATTAGTCAAAATGAAGCGCCAAAAAAAATTCTCATGATCATTTATCAGCGATTTTTGACAACCATAGAGATCTTATTAATGTATGTGTGTATCCCATAGAGAACAAAGCTTAAAAACATTGTCTTTGAGTATGTATTTTACATAAGCCTACTTCAAAAACATGATTTCACAACCACCTCGGCCCCACCATGGCTGGGGCTGAGGTGAGAAAATTTGAGGAAATAGGACCTCTCGAGATGGCCGGAAATGACACTTTTATATAGTAAAATTCATCATCATCACATTACCATTATAGTCAAAATGAAACGCCAACACATTTCTCATGATCTTTTATCAGGGATCTACTTAATATCCAGGACGACTTAGGCCTAATTATAGTTTACTTAAGCTTTAACTATATATACTATATTATGATCAACAAATCACAACTTTTTTCGCATTTAGCACAATTTTCTTCACTTTTTATCGTTATTAATATTAATATCAATTATTACTATCGTCATCATCATCATTGTTATTATTATTATTACTATTAGTAGTAGTACTGTCTCTTATACACATCTAGATGTGTATAAGAGACAGTACTTAAGATGATGTTTTGTCTCGCATACACCTCTTCTTTACCGTTTTACGGTAAAGAGAGGATATTTTAAAAAGTGGTGAGGAATTTAATTTTAAAAAGTAATATTACCGTATTCTAGTGTGAGTGAATTCAATAATCAATTCAAGTTCGTATTGGTGTGCTGAAAAACTTAATCCAGAGAGTCAAATTACTCATCAAGACAATATCGTTGAATGAATGCATGCCTCCTAATAGGCCTACGTATATCTGTGTTTTCTTCTCTTATAGGTTTAATAAACTTACCAGGAACTGTGTTTAGTAATATACTGAGTAGCTTCTGTATTAAGAAATTCAACTTAACTCAATTTGGGCTTGGCAGAATGTTGGTAGCCATTGCTACAAGTACTTTTCTTTTCGCCATTTCTCTTTTATTCATCGGATGCTCTAATCCAGCGCTTGCTGGTGTTACAACACATTACAATTCTTCATCTAGCCAAGGGTGAGTACTTGTAAAGCTTAGGCAGTTTGCCAGCTACGATGTTACCACTATAGTTTCATGAAATTTAAAGGAAGCAGAATCGCGTGTTGACTCATTCCTAATTATACCTATTTAAAATGTAAACATTTTGGTTGATTTGAGATCAGTTTATTTGTAGCTAAATTGGTAGTAATTGTTATCATTTAACATCTTTTGAACATAATGCACAATCCAGAATTTACCGTAATATTGGGTTCAATTAGAGCATGGGTTATTAAGAGTACTGGGCCATGTTTAAAAAAATGTCATTTTTGTTTCATTGTTATCTTCCAGGTCGTTACATTATATTGTATTATTATTATTATTTATTAAAAATACATCATTGTTATTATCTATCAGGTTGTTACCAAACTTAAACAACTCCTGCAATTCCAACTGCGCATGCCCGGAGAACTATTATAGACCTGTGTGTGGTTCTGACGGAATCACGTATAGTAGTGCTTGTCATGCTGGATGTACTGATGTATGGAGAGACGGTATGACAGATCTAAATGAATTACGGCTATCCACCAACGATACGGTAAATAACGTGTGTGATCATACGTATGATCATATGCGAAAAGTGACATTTCTGAATTTTGTTTCTGTATCCTTCCATAGGCTATGGGAACAATTACTACCTGTAATTCAAAATCCTTCATCAATCTCATCTAAGTTCTTAGTTCTAACTAAGTACTACATTTCATTATATTAGTTGTACTTTATTTGTATTTTCTTTGTAATTTTTAGTTTCCAGTGCTTTTATTTATTTTTTTTTTAAATTTCAAAACTTGATTGGTGTACAGTTCCTTTATTTATAAGGTAGAGTGAGTGCAGTATCTGTTTGGGCTTGTGCCTATTGTCACTCCAGGCTATAATTGTTCTTGATGATTGCCAAATAAATATTATTATTATTATAACTCTTATTTTATTTCCATATATGTTTCCTAATCAGCAGTACCCACTGTGTACCCATTCATACATTTAATATTCATCATTAAGAAACTTTTTTACTGTCAACTGTATACATACATTAGCCTATTACATAATCCTAAAGTTTCCTAGGAGTAGAGTACCGGTACTGTAGTAGAATGGGATAACAGGTCTTTCCCAAAGACATAACCTAAGCGAAATGCACTCTTAAAACCCGAATCACAACCGCTCTCTTTATCTATAATATCTATCCGGGCTGCCATTTGTGTAATCATGGGGTAAAGAATTTATTCTTTAATCCATGGTATATAGTACTTTACTCCACATCCACTCCCCCCCCCCCCCCACCCCCAAGTTTTAAATTGATTAAAGTCGGACAAATCCTGGCGCTTCCACTGTAACACGAGGCATTGGCTGAGACCTATTAAATTTACTTTTGTCACTCAACGTATGCTAAATAAATTATATTTCTGGGGCATTAAAAATGTTTTATAGAATTTATTATAGATTTATATCGGGTGCAGCTGTATAGCCACTACTGATGAATGGAACACTACAAACTGGTTGATTGAAGGCGGAATTGCCACCCTAGGATCATGCGACTGGACCTGTGATAAACTTATTCCGCTTGTCTTGATTGTGCTGGTAATATCAGTGTTTGTTTCTATGAGACCTAATCCGGCTATAATGCTAATGTTGAGGTGACTACGTTTAACTTAGTGTATACTATTTTCATATTTTACTAAACCAACTGAAAGAGGAAAGTAGCCTACATTTGTTAATTATAGGATAGAAAGGCAGTAAGCCTGTGATGCTCTAAGCCAAAAAGTTATTTGGTTTTAATAGTCAAAACAGGATTTAAGGACCTGGAATTGGAAGACGCACAAATATAATAAAACCACATAGCTACACTAGCTCCACATTAATAAGAATTATTCGATAATATAATTTCAAGCTGGGAAAACGAACAATGCACATTTTGGAGGTCAAAAATCATTTCATATTCCAAACTTCGTTTTTACAGATGTGTTGAATCAAGTGACCGTGCCCTGGCAGTTGCTTTTGGCGGTGTTGTAGGTAGAGTGCTAGGTACGTTTTTTTTTTATTATGCTTTTTCAAAATGATGAAGAAAAACACGAGGGAAAGTTAAAAGTGAACATACTTTAAGAAAAAAAAACTAAACTAAACGTTTTTAAGCTGTAAATTCCGTTTGTGAACTTTTACTTTCAATATAAAGCAACACAGAAAATACAGTATAGTGTGTTTCTGAGTTAATTTGAATGAAATTACGGCAACTAATACAAGCATTGAAATCCCGTTTTTAAAATTCGCTGCGACCCAGTTAGTTTGTTTTTTTTTCACTTAATATTGCATATCTTAATTGTCTTAAAAATTCGTGCCTTAATTTGAAACTTTTAATAGTATTAAGACGCTTGCCTTGATAGCATATATATGTCGCAAATTCGAATCCCGAGAGCATGTTTTTTTTTCAGAAAAACGATTGGTAAGTTCTTCGTTGAAGAGCTACGTTTCTGAAGATTATCATTTGTTTCTTTACTAGCTTAAACAAATTAATAATTAATCCAAAACAGGATTCGAACTTGCAATCTCTCGCTGTCAAGCAAGGCGAGTGTCACAGATCCGATTCAATCAAAGATATCTGGAGTCAAGATGTATCTCAAATGGCAAGTCAGAGAGAATTCCCTATGACAACAGTGAGTCACAGGTTCGACTCCCACCGTAAATATTTTTCATTTCATCCAAGATGATTTTTGTTTCGTCTAGGCTTCTTTCCTGCCCCGATTTATTTCGGCGCCACTATTTCCAGCACTTGTTTGATCCACCAAGAATCGTGTAGTCGTGGAGGAGCGTGTCTCGTCTACGATCTTGAGCGATATCGCTACTCATTCATCGGTCTGTTCGTTGGGTTGAAACTTTTAGCAGTTGTCCTCTCAATGTGCACCTATTGTAGCATAAACCCCGATCGTTTTGAGGTAAAATTATCACTGTAATTAGTACTATTCAGTAGATCACTAATAACTGGAGTAGAACGAAAGTGAGAATTTCATCCATGGTCCTGCCAATTTCAGTACGGTACTTTTCATATCCAACTTGACTTTAATAGTGCCAGTAGTCTGCCGAAAAGCAGTTAAAAACACACATCAAACACACCTAATACATAAATTGCATGCATATTAGTATGACTTACCGTACCTTATTGTACCTATTAAATATATAGGCCTACTAATGAAACGAAGTCCGGCCTATGTATAATAATTACAGGCCTATAGGCCTATGTGAAGTACCACATCAACATGGTAGTATTTTCCATCAGTTCAAAATCAACCCGTTTGTATGAAAATGATAATAAATATGATGATGTTGATAATAGTAGGCCTAATATATTAATGATTATGCGGATTACGATGATGAGGATTACGATGATGCGGATTACGATGATGAGGATTATGAGGGTAATTATGATGATGATTAGTGTGTTAATGATTAGGATGACGCCGAAGTGCATACAACATTACATCAACCAATTACCGGATCGAGACAACATTTTAAATATAGGCCTAATAGCTTTTCACACATAATGAAAATTCAAATGTCGAACTCTTTTTTAATCCACAGAAAAACAAGGAAAAGGCGGTGTCTATGAAAGCTCTTGCAGAAGGACAGTAACATATCGTATATAGAGAATAATAGTTAAGATATAATCTTACGCGAAATACTATATAATAAATATATATAGGCCTATCATATTATTGCGTGCGTAGGCCTACATTTTACTAATCGATTTTAATATCATTAATAAACGCATGGTTGACAACGTATAGGCCTATCCAGAATATGATGTCTGTATTTAGATTTTAAAGCTTTTGATAACGCAAACTGACACTGAAATACTACATTATCATTCATTGATTCATATGTACATTTATTTATCTTTTCAATCAATCGCTGAAAAAGGAAATATGTTTTACCACGAAACTAAACAGGATTGCTTCTTTCCATTTGTTGTAACTATAGGCCTAACTAAACTTCATTGTATTAGGCCTGTTTATATTGTTTGATACAAACTTGCTTTATTTTCATAAAATACAAGTGCCATATAAAAAGAATGAGGATGATAATCATGACGGTTATGATAATGAAGATGATGTGAAATTGTTATATCGATAATAAACCAAGTACAATGAATGTAAACTTGCGAGCTTTCGTCGATGTTAACATGATAAAAGAGTTCTAGAGCTATAGGCAAACCAGATGAAAATATTCGAATATTGATGAAGATAACGGCGATGATGATAATGATACTATGAGAGCAAGAGTTTAGCAAAGAGTCCAGTCCACACGATATAATAGTGGCTAGCCCATTCTTTTTATCTGCCCGTAAATACGATTGAATATCGGTTCGTCCTTTACTGTAATGTTCAGTGGTATTAAGGTTATCCACACTAATGGTCTTGGTATTCTCATGGTAGCACTTTCTATCTGTTAAGTACCTCAACAAAAGCAGCATCGCGGTCGGAGTCACAGCCGCAGTGGCAACGGCGCTTGGTAGCGGCAGCGAAAACGGAAGCGTCAGAGCAACAACTGGCAGAGAAATTAAATCTAGTTTGGTTACATTGCCTGCATATGAAATAAGACCTGACTGGGCACTGTTAACTACGTACTCTCTGTTCCATGGGAGTGCATTCAAATTGAACAGGAAAGTAAAGAAATAATAAGTGCTAAATCGAGTTTGAATATCATAAGTAATATTATTATAATACAAACATTACAGAACATTCATAGGCAGAGACCAATATATGATTTCAGATATCAATCACGTGGTTAACAGAGATGAATGGATGACAATACAATGGACCTTTCTGGTGTGTCAATCATACAACTGACCAATGAGAACAAAGCTAGAAATATGCACTTGTTCCAGTAAAATCAGTGGCGTAACGCTTATGCGCTCTCATGCGGCAGTCCGCAGGGCCCCCGACCCATAGAGGCCCTGAAAAGGTGACCCCTAACCACATATGGTCCTCGATCTAGCACCCAGACCCAAAAGGGCTTTGTTGATACATAAGAGCATAATGTGTCTCTGAAATCGACTGTATATCATATTATATCCAGTGGCCGCGAATTTTAGAGGCCACTACATTTTATAATTTATAGTCTGTGAGTGCCATTTCCGGCCATTTAGAGGCGCCGTATTCATAAATTATATAACTTCAGCCCCAACCATGGTGGGTCTGAGGTGGAACTGACCCTTTGTCAGTGAAAACCTCTCCCTGGGCCCTATTAAACATCCCTGGATTCGCCACTCACATCAACATATTATTTTGTCAATAAAAACATTTAGAATGCAATGAAAAACATAATTAAAAATGAGCACATATAAAATCCAACAATGGAACTACCAACCAGGACCCAATAGGCCCCCACTCTCAGAAAGCCACATGGCCCCCAGCCCCATCTTTAGCCACGGAGTAAAATAGTCATGTCCCACCAACATGTGGTTAACAAAGGACCTTTGCAACAATACAATATCAAAGGGGTGGTGCATAACAGAAGCTCCACTGAACTGTACATCTTGGAAACATTCTATAACAAATCAATATAGTAGGGATATTAAATGTTCAACTTATAACAAGGTAAATATCAAACTGATATCAGTCATTGCTTTAAATAAATGCATTTCAACGTCTACACTAACTTAGTGCTGAAAATAGACTGCTCTTTATGATTTCAAAAATTGACAAAATTTAAATCATCAATAAAACAATCTCAAGTTAATGTATCACGACAACCGATTGTAGCTATCAGATGTTAAGCTCTTTCAAGACTATCACATTTTCTTTGACAAAAAAAATATTGTATGCCCATATATAGTCATGATGTGCCTATATATGGTCATGATGTGACCATATATATTCATGATGTGCTTATATGAGGCATGTTGTGGCAAAATGGCTAAGTTGTAGCAAAAATTGAAATTCAAGTTATTGGTATTTTCAGATACATTAAGTATGTGATCTTTAAAATGAGGGGTCATTTATTGAAATAGCACATTTCAAGCATACATGTAAGTTATTGGAAAGTGAAGGTACAGTACACTTTAGAATCAAGATAAACACGATTTTGAGTAATTGCCTTTCGAAGCTATTTGTGCATACATTGTTTAATAGAATGAACTATCAAAATAACATTAAATAAACAATTTGTTGACCACTTCAAGAACTAATACTTTGGTACATGATTAATAAGACATTAAACTGTTGATCTGTAGTGAAAAACAAATTTGGATTTTTATGCAATTTTTTGAGCTCACATATTTTATAGCTCATTTACTCAATACTGGCCTGTGCGACAACTTAACCGTTTCACCTCATATTTGGTCATGATGTGATGTCATCATGACCATATTTAGGCATGCCACATGTTTTTGTCAAATCAAATTTGATAGTCTGGACAGGGCTTTACAGCAATTCCTACAGCTCTATTCACACTATCAAGTTGTTGTCCATATTTAGGTATGACATCATCATGCCCATATATGTACAAATCTCAGATATTTGCCAGACCATTTGATAGTATTTACAGAGTGTAACACTATTCAATATATTCTATCCATTTGTATATATTAAATAAATATTAAACAAATACAACACAGTTTGAGGTGAAGTAGTGAATTCTACTTCCAGAAGTGTTGGATGATTTTGACTACCTCCTGAAGCGAAGCGAAGGGAGGTACTACTTTTGGAAGAGGTATTGCTGGAGCCACAACTGGCTCTGCCTAAATGTAGATCTGTCACAATTACCAAAATACCAGGAAATGATATTACGCTGCCTTATCCCTACAATAAATTTATAATTTTGTTCAATGAAGTCTGTACAGTTAATTAAGAAAATATTTTAACAAAGGTTCATATAATAAGCCTAGGAGGAATATACATCCTGAAAAATGACTGAAGAGCAATTTTGAGGACATTTAAAAAATAATTTTTCTGTTACCAGAAGGTTACCATAATTTACGGTGTCAGCTTGTTACAAATATTAGCAAATCCAGGTTCAAAGGTCATTTATAAAAGTATTTTATATACATTTTACCTCCCCTCAATGTTTATTAAGTATTATCACAACCAAGCTAACATGCACAAGAACAATTTATTATTTAATTTTATCAAATAAAAAAAGTGCTGAACATTCTTTATAAGCATTATTAACTATGAACAAATTCAGACCTACTATATATGATTGTTATTTAAAAATAATATAATTACAAAATCGCATTTGTATAAATATATTTAATTTAGTAGGCGCTGCAACAACTCATGCTGTACAAGATATTTATCTACAAATAGAGAGTGAAATTAAATTTGGTTGATTCAATTATGTTATGTTACAGCATTTTGGGTGAATCCAGGATCTTACAAGTAGGAGGCACTCAAAAGTATGACCATAGGGTTATGATCATCATTTTACTATCTGTTTAAATATTGCAATTTTAAATTTTGACAGTTCTCCATGTCTCTTCTGCCTCCAGATCTTTGTAAGAATTTTCTTTATTTGCAATTTAAAAATAAATAATATACCAAATACAATACGAATATGTTTTAACCATAAACTAAAAATATAATAAATAGAAGCTATCTTTTGATGTTTTTTGTGCGAACTAATTTATCAGCCCTAACAGCAACAGCTAGTATTGTTATGGCCTGATGGTATAATCCAATAAGTTTTTATCATTCCATATAAAAAAAAAATGGATGCTAGCAATGTACTGTATTACTAGGTAAAATAATCCCTAATAATAACTCAGGTACCAGAACGACTTGCATTTGTCTGAATGGTATAAGCCCACAATCCTGGTTATGAAGAGTGTTGGACAGCAACAGAGTTTCTATGGATTGCCCTGATTTTGTTGTATGTGGGGAATGGTACCACCAACTGCTTGCAGTTTTAGGCTGATATGTATTTAATCACACCTCATTGGTGATTGAAGGGGTAGCATACAGTATACCACAGTCAGTACAGAAATTCCATTACATCTAGGTATAAAATCAGTCTCCTGTTAGACAAATTTCCTGCATATGAAATAAGCCAGTCTACATGACTGGGCATTGGTAGCTATGAGAGAGAGTGCATATGCTAAAAATTCTGTTGCCTTTTTCGTTTAATGTCCATTGCTTCCAGAATTGGACGTCGTTTCTCTTGGTACCGGAGTCGTAATTCTTCTATTTCTCTTTCCATTTCTGGGTCTAAGTCTGCTAGTCTTTTGTGTAACTCATCGTATGATAATTGTTTTATCTGCAATAAAATTACAACATTCAGTAACAATGAGACAGTAGTTAACGTAACCATTTTTTTAGTCATGACAATGCATCGATAGCATCAGCAATGTAAGGCAAAAAAGATCAGGATTTCTTATCAACTACAGGCCTATGCCTATTGGGTTTATGGGTAACCATCTTTCTTGGAATAATATTCTGGTGAAATTGTAACAACTGGCCTAAAATATCCTAATGTATCAACTTAAAAAGTATCAATGTAATCATTATCATCATGATCATGCCATCATCATAATCACCATCATGATCATCAAACTTAAAAAACACTTCATTTCAAATTACTAAAATATTATCTTTTAATCCCACTTTTCGATTATCTTTTCCACGGTTTTTCTTTTTCTCTTGATTTCCCCTGTACTGACGGTCTCGTGTTGGCTTTCTTGTTTGTTTTTCTCGTTCCTGTTTTGTCATCGTTTATTCGTTCGTCTGTCTTGCTCGTCCTGCTCTGTTTCTTTTTTTTTTCCCCTGTGAGTTTGTTGTTTCATTAGGCTGGCCCAGCACAACATTTCTTATCTTCTCAGGCATTTGCCTTCTTCCTTTTGTATGCCGTTTTCTTTATATTTATAGCCATAAAAACTTTATTTTGTATATGTATGCTACAAAGGAAGCTAATAAATGTTTTTTCGAATTGAATTGAAAAAAAAATAATGATCAGTATCATAACTACTCACAAATTCATAATCTTGATCTGGGTAAGGTCTCTGGTACTGTACAGGTATGATTTGTGGTGGAGTGATGTCTTCTGTGACTGGGACAGCAGGAACAGGAAGCACTGGCGGTGTCACTTCCGCAGGCACTGTTGGTGGTGCAGCAACATCATTACTCTCAGCAGGAGATTTCTCTGATTTTGATGCTTGCTTTTTGGCATCAAGTTGATCAAAATGTTCCATGAATAATGGACGATATTCTTTATTTGCTGAAGGGTTTGTATCAAATTCTAAGAAAAAATCAATATTGTTTACAAGGTTATTAGTTTCGCACAACGTTTCTTAAGGCAAGTACTCATTGCGCCCGACGGTTTATAAAGAACGCAAAGCCACGTCGTGTGTGCAACGGATCATTTTCATGACGGTCCGTTTAGGCTGCCACTGATAATCAGCAGACAGCATTGTGTCGAGTTGTATCCATCGTACAACGATAGTACGACAGTGAGTACCCGCATTTAGCATCATAAACATTTCTTTGCGGCTTGTCAATGGGAGTTGTTTTTGTCAAATGGAAAACATTATATAATATTGAATGATAATCATGGGGACTGGAAAGCAAAATAATATATTAAAATACCTCATCAAACTCAATTTGATTTTATTAAAAGGTGAACAGAAAAAAGGCACAATACAAAATATGAAAGCATTATTATTGATTATCAATACGACATCAGATCCCATGGAAAAGCCCAGTTTAACACCTGCATCATTTGCTCTAATTAATTAATAGGATGTTAAGCCAATGGTCCCGCATCGTGCTAATAGCAGAGATGTATGACAAAAAATTGATTTTATTATTTGATAAAGAGTAGTGGATTGTCTCCTGGTGTACTGACTATGGTAGACACGTCACTGCCACAGCGCCACAGGTCACTAGGAGCATAATGTAAATTCTCTTTACATTTACAAATACGAAGACGAATACTTACTTTTCATAGTATCATCCATATTCTCAAGGTAGTCTGTCTCATCTTCCTCGTCAGAATTGATCACCATTGTTCCCATACTGGATTCCAATTCAATCATCGTGTTCGCATCACTATGGGCAATGAACGTGTCGGAATCAACATCCGCGATTGCAACTCCCTCATCTCCGCTCGGCCTCTTGATCATCGTTCCATCGATAACAGCATCATCTTCATCATCATCCTCATCCTGTAAAGCAAATAGTCAAGGATGTGTTTAGATAGATGGAATTGGGATTAACGTCCTACGTCTTTGACAGCAGAATAAGAACCAGTTGCATATCTCTGTGAAGTTGGTTTAGACAGGATTGGTTTGGATTCTTTTAGCGTGAAATATATCAAGGAACACCAACAAAATAAGAAATAAATGTTGCCTTAAGACTTACCGAAGATACATAAAGACTAGGATTCTGTAACATTTGTTGATGCCGTAATTTTTCATCTTCTCGGATATTATTAGCTTCAATGATCATGTCACGCAATATACTGACCGGTCCAGCACTTGAGATAAATGCATGCTTAAAAATAATTTTAAATACAATTATCATTAAAATCGAAAAATAAAGAACATTTCACAAAATAGGCAATGTAAATTTGTTTTCATATATTTAAAAAGACATAAAATATCACCCAGTCACAAAGTATACGTGGTAAAACAACAAGGAATACAAAATTTGTGGAGCATCATTATTAAAGGCTTTTCTTTGAAATTTCTTGAAGTGTACATAAATAGACTCAATTGGCAGCCTCAAACAGGTACTGTAGTCATCACAAACTTACCAAGTACAACATGCAGTAAAATCAGTTTCCAAGTGTAGGAAGATGAAATTTTATGTTTTTTAAGATATGAAAATCACAGTAGGAGTATTATTATATCAATATATTAATTGCATTAATAATAGTTAAATTAATAACAATAATAATAAATATTAAAGTGGAAAAATCCTTATAATTTAATACACTTCTTGATCCTTAAATATTTTACAGCATACCTGAAGTAGTTCTGTAGCCGTTGCCCTTTCTTCTGGATCTTTAATCAAACATTTGCTTATAAAATCTGTAAATTCTTCCGTCCATTTCTCTGGATTGCGGAATGCTGGTGGTGGTTTTGTCGGGATCATAAATATTGCCTGTTAACCAAAAATATGTCCAAAAAAATTAATAATTATCAAATCACTGACTATTATACAAATGTCATTACCCTTTTTCAATACATGTTTTTGATTGGTTGAAATTCCACGTCATATGCCAAATTCTATTGGTGAATTATCCAAATCAAAAATATAAACCCATGTTTTTGATTAGTTATTTATTTGACTTACTCATCATATTTGATGAAAACTCTTTTGAACCTATGACTTTATTTGAATTTACTTACTCTCATTGGATGGATATCTGCATAGGGTGGTTTCCCTTCTGCCATTTCTAATGCTGTTATACCAAGTGACCAAATGTCTGCTTTACAGTCGTAACCTATTTCTTGAATAACTTCTGGCGCCATCCAGAAAGGTGTACCTATAACAGTGTTGCGCTTGGCCATTGTGTCCTAAGAAAACAATTATTATTATTAGGAAAGTATGCCATATATATTCTATTTCTAGCAGCACAAAAATGTATTACATATAAACAACATGAAAGTGCATAGTTAAGGAGAGACAAAGCTGCTATCACTAAAGGGTGTGCTTCCTCCAACATCTCGCTCCCAACCTCAAGCACTAACCATGTTCAAGCTTTCCTTTCACTTCCTCCAATTAATGATCTTGAAATATCATTAATATCATCAAAACTATTCTGACTGAAACTAAAATGTTGTGGTACCTACAGTATCCACAACGAGAACAAACAACATTTTCCACTTGTTAACTAATTAAAGAACATATCAGGTTAAAAATCAAGCAAACACATACTGTATCATACGACGTTCAAATTTAACTTCTGTAAATCGAGGAATGTGGAAAAGAAAGAGGAAGGGACATTTTTTTACCGTAAGCTGCCCTGCAACTCCAAAGTCTGCAAGTTTAGCATGACCCTCTGTGTTTAGTAAGATATTACCAGCTTTGATATCTCTATGAATTTTCCGCATGAAGTGGAGGTATTCTAATCCTTTTAGTGTATATTGCAGTATTGTTGCTATTTCTCCTTCTGTTAGCTGTGTCAATGAAAGAAATAGGATTTCAAGGAAATTAATTTAAATACTGAAAATAATCAAAAATTACTGAACTCTATTAATTATAAATAAACATGTACATTAAAATGTTTGCTATAGTACCCCAGACAAGTGTTGGTAACTGTCACTGAATTCTTTTTATATATCTAATTGTAAAATATATTAAAAATATATATACATATTTTTGAAGTTATCATTGTCAATGCCACTACCATTATCAGTACCCCAAGCCACACTGAATGTAACAATAATTTAAAATAAGCAATTAATAGAGCTCCGCATAGTACACTATAGGAAAATTATTATACGAAGGTTAGATTTAATGCTTGAAAAAATTTCCTGAGGGACTGCAAAGACCAAACAAAATTTTTGAAAGTATAGCTTTCCGCTAGTGTACAATACATGCTCTACTAACTGCTTTATAAGTCGATCGCCGTCTTTTAATCTGAGATTTGATAAGCAACTGTTGTAGCAGTCATCGCTTGCTATATTGATATGATCAGTATACAGTACAGTGTGCATATTTACATTTAGCTGTGCGTATGCTGATTTGTGCTCCTGCAACGTGCGCGTTAACTCAATAGGTAGTTGTCGCCGCACAAGGTTAACCTTAACGTTAACGGATGACGTCATAATTTATTCATCTTGCATTGCAGAGTATGTTAATTTCAAGATTTATGTGCTCGACGTACAGTACAGTATGTTAGTTACAGGTTTGCACATGTGTATTTCGATTTGTTTACAAAAGGGGCAGAGCTATCGCGTTGCATGATGGGTACTAACGTTAAAACTGACTACTCACAGAAGTAGTGACGTTACACAATACTACCGAAGAACTTGTTTGTAAATGTTATTTTAATAGACACTCGTCAAAGCAATAATCATTCCTTAAAGCATTTGAGAGAGAATACAGTAGTCACTTTTTGGATGGTGCAGACAGGTAAAATTGTGCGATGATTCATAACTAGGCTAGGCTACGACCCGGAGAGGAGGCCTCGGCGGCCTCCCTGCCTACCTGCCATAGGCCTACACCAAATTTTATTCCTTGAGTCTTTAAAATACGTCTAGAATATTCCTATTAAACTTTCAGTTTGTTTAGTTTATGAGTATCCATTGATTCAATTAATTCCTTAATTGTTCATACTTAATATTGAATTTTAAGTAACTTTCTTTAGGTTCTAATTAACCTCCTTTTACGAAAGTAATTTTTGGAGTAATTTTTAAAAAATGAGGAAATTTTTTTGCACACGAACCTAAAAAAAATCAAGCCAAGTATCTAATTAAAAAATGATTGGACTGTGGGGGATAGGCAAATAACATTGGGAGTTGCAGTGATGACGTCACGATTGACTTATAATATAATTTATAGTAAATTACAGTATACTGTTGTTTATTTTCTTTACTATCCATCATGTCATGATTTTAACAAAATATATAGCCATTGTTGCATACATACTACTTTATTTCGCCTCCTCATGATGTCGGACACAGACCCTGCACCGCAGTACTCCATAACAATCTAAAATAACAAAAACACAAGATATAACAAATGTAAATTGAGCATGATTGATTCTATACCTAATTACTAGGAGATAAAATAGAAGATATAAGTATCAAAATACCATAAATTAACAAATTAAATAAATGTGTATCAGTGCCTAATTCTTAAAAGTTTTTCTGAATTATCTGTATAGTATCATTAATGTTTAGAAGAACAAACATTTAAGAATATTAACATAATAATACAATTATTGTTAGTTTATGAGAAAAACATTTAAGGAAAAAGAATAAAAGTTAACAAATTAATGGTAATGTTGGTAGTCTATTAGTGAAACATACTGATATTCTCTTTATAGAAAACCCCTCATAAATAATAGAATTGACCAGCCCAGCTCACTGTTTAGTATGCCATACACATATAAATCAATTTTTAAATAATCAACTAATTAAAGTTAAATATTGTCCAAGGTATGTTAATGTTTACAATAATGTTCATTCAAAATGATTTCTGTTACTGTTTTTATCTGTTTTGCAATGTATACTGTAACAAGTAAAATAGAGGCAATGTTTAGTCAGTGGCAGAACCAGGAATTCGAATGAAATCATAATATCATTATTTATATTGATAAAATAAATATGACAAAATATGACAACAAGTTATTTACCCATAAGTCTGTGTTTTTAAAATAGCTACCATAATACTTGACAACAAATGGACTATCACACTGCTGCATTATAGATATTTCTTTGATTATTTCTTGAAGGTCTGTGTCGACGGGAACCTGTTTGATGGCAAGCACTTGCCCTGATTCTTTGTGCATTGCTTTGAATACACTCCCGTATGACCTAAATTGAATTAGGAGGAAAAATTACATCAAAGATGAATTGAGAATATATTTGATAAAGAAAAGTCAAACTAAATTAAGTAACAACAAATAGTGCTTTTTGTCTATATTGTTTATTCAGCTTGGTTGTACTTCATATTACAGCTAGAAATTAGTGCAATCGTGTTAAAACCTATCAAATACTCCTGCATGGCAAGAGACAATCATACGGTAGGTAAAGTGCTTTGCCCAAGGACATAAGAGGAACAGACAAGGGGTTCGAACACACTTCAAAATAAAATCTGCTGCACCAACCATACCAATCATTTTTTTTTCTATACAGCTATTATTTTATAGTTAAAAATGTTTATATTGTATGAGGGACTGCTTTTAGAACCACAACTGTAAAAATTATAAAAAATATACTGTATGGTAATAATTACCCTTCTCCTAGCTTCTCTAAAACATCAAACACCTCTTCCGGTTTCTTTGTCAGACTCTCTTCACTTAATTTCTTTAATTCACTAAAACGTTAAAAAAGAACAGAGAAATCTAATTAATATAGTAATAAAATTTTACTAAATAATAATATGGTAAAAATGCAGACATTTAGTTGAAAGAAAACAATATCATTGGGGCCCTCATTAATTGTATAATATTACTGTTGTTGTGTAGTAGTGCTGTACTTTCTTTCATTTCTGTTGAATAATAACATTATAGTAATAGTAATAATATAATGCAGTAGTAATAATATAATATTGTAATAAAGAAAACAAAGCATACTGTAGCTATTCTGGACAAAATATACACCTACTGTCATCTAAATACACAGTTAATATCCATAGCATATTCAGTATGTATGACAGATACACTGCTTAATGGAGACATTAAAATTGTAATGATAGTACAGATCTTTCATTATTGTAATTTATGTATTATAAAAACCGTATTTGGAATGAATATTTAATAACAATAATACAATTGTGATGATGCATAAAAAATAATTTGTAGCAATTAAGTTAGTTTTAACCAGCAAATGACAATTGAACACGCAGTACTACTTGCATACTATTTTATAATAATAGGTTTCACTAAGGAGAAGGGCAAGAATGCAGAGCAAACTCATAAACCTGTCAAATGGGATCAAGGAAGCTTAGGCCTTGAACAAGCTCTCATCCCTAAGCAGTAGGTCAATTAAACAGTTGTCTTCAAAGTAATGTATGTAGAGTAATCATAATGCATTGTTGTTCAGCTTTAATAGTCAGTTTCATGATATTTCTGCAGTATTTTTAAGATTCCTTGATAATTGTTACATTTCTAATTAATATAATTACTTAATCCTTGCCAAGCCCCAGGGCTCATAGTGCTGGAGCTTATCCCTAGTTCCTGTAGCATGAAGCAGGTGAGATGCTGGTCCACCATCAGATTACTCCAATGTAGCAATGTACACAGTAGATAATGTGTCTTAAGGACATAAACGAAATGCACAACGAAGGATTGAAACCCCGACATCGAGGTTGGGAAACCAAACCATTCCAACTATACCAAACCACTAAATATCTTTTTTCATAAAAACAATAAGATAATGTAGCAAGATCATAATAACAATTTGAAAACCCGCCTACTGCATACTACAAGACAGCATGCACACCATCCATCAGAAGGGCATACGGAACCTGTATCACAACTGCACACTATTGTTATGACATGGGAGTTTACAATTCCTTGTGGTATGCTCTGCCAGGGGAGAAGGCAAGTCCAACAGCTGACACTAAGAACAGCATGTGTTGACAATCGGGGCACTTAAATTGAGTAACCATATCTGCTGCTAAATGGCATACACAGTGGCCTCCATTGTTTGATATAAAAAAAAAACTATTAAAACTATACTGTCCAGTGTTCTTTTACTGACACGAAACCTTGAAATTTAGCAAAACATGCAGCCACTGGTGTTAGGATCCACATTTTGTCATGCTAAAAAAATAATTTGAAAATGCTCAAATAAAATTTTACTACTATAGTACAGTACTATGTTTAACTACTAGCACTGACATACACAAAATATGTTCTACAATTTACAGTACCTTTTATTTGAGGACATCTTGCACTATTAAATAATTTCACTTTTTACAAAAACTCCAGTTTTCTTTCCTTTTCTATGTTTAGTACACACAACTGAAAATGAAATAATATAATTAAATATTAAGTTTGTTCAAGCTGTAATGAAACAAAATATAGCTCATACACATTTTGGTATATGAAGATATGAAACTGATAATTTTAAAGATTTAGGATTTCTTGTGAGATTGATCAGTAATCTTACAGTATATCACAAAAAAAAACTGTTTTGATGAACTAAGTATTGAAAACCTAAGTTAACAATAAAGACGACCTCAACATGATGCTACAAAATGAAGCAATTCTTAAATGTTAATATCTTCATATACATCCCTTGCTACCTTTTGCACTTTATTAGATTCATAGATACTTTTAAAGCAGAAGTCATCATCACAGTCCCCAGTTGGTTTACTGTAGAAAGGTCAGGTTAAGAAGGGGGATGGGAAGTACAGGACTATTGTATTTAACTTGGTAGAAAAGTGTAACTGTCAAAGGTGAACTAAAACTATACTACTCACAAGAATCAGTAAGTTTCGATACACTATTTCCACTCTAATTTGGAATACAGTTTTTATCTTAGGGATAAAATTGTTTTTCTTACTTTTAATTTGCCCTCATTACCATATAATTTGTCCTTACATTATTTTCTATATCCTTTACAAAAATCAACAAAAGCCTTTCATACGTGAACCATTTATTTTTTTTGCAAGATGGCTGCACAGGCCTACTGTAAAGCTTGCAATTTACAAAAGCTTATTCAGGCAAATCTTATTTCACTTTACCATTAAGCAAGTTTACAGTAGACTATGAAGACATGAAGCATAATGAAATCCCATTTTCCACATGAGCTTGTTCTTATACTATATCCTTGCCATGAATACTAATTTACCAGGATTACCAAAACACACACCAATAGCACATTGTTTCACCGCCAAGTATGACTAAATATTCACAAACATGAACAGATTGTGAGCTATAAATTTACAAATTTGATGATGAGGCCAATTACAAGCATCACCAGGTAATTTATTTATCAGACAAACATCTCATTTAATCCAACATTATTCTTTAATTATTCTCCATAATGTATAGTAGTAAAGTGGGCCTCTAGGGAAATTATTAAATTACTTGAATTAGACGGGAGGTGCTGCATTTACTGTACATGGTGTTCTTTTTTTTTAGCAGAATGTATGAAAACAACAAGAAAAATTATAAAAATAAAATGATTGAAATTGCAGTTTTATGTTTCTGATTTTATCAAAAACAAATAATTTCCATAATTAATTGTAATTGAATGTGGCAAAACATTTGATAAAAAAAATAATGGTTGTTCATGAAATGGCTGCTATTTCAATGCATTAATATGCTTTCACTGCTGTTTATTGAATGTAATTAAGTACTATGTGACGTGATCAGCTGATCAAAATAGGAATGTGTTGTTTACTGTTTGATTGCCAAATACACATATTATGTGGTAGTTTAAGTGGCCCTAATATTTTGACAGGTAGTGACATAAATGAGAGCTTTGCAAAAATACTGTCAAACAAAAATGTTCACAAGTTTATAATGTCTTGAAAATTCCCCTCAACTGATTTTATGAAATGTGAACGTCCAGGATGAATTTGGTTTAACTACTATTACTATGTATTAAGGCAGCAATTTAGAGATGACAGTCATAGTACAGACATGATGTACATGATGCTAAAACAATTTTATATTATAGTGCATTTAAACTTCACAAGGTCATGTGTATGAGGAAACTTCAAAGCTAATGCAGTAGCTGTGATTTCTAAAAAGTTACAGTGCACAAACTGGATGAATATACTGTAGTTACTACTAATAACTACTGTAAATCCTTTCCGAGCCACTGGGGCTCATAGGGCTGGAGCTTATCCCCAGTTTCTGTAGTGTGAAGCGGATGAGAGTTGTACTCCCCCTGGACGGGATACTAGTCCATCGCAGGTTAGTCCCCAGCAGTTTGCTGGCACCCATTGATACAGCTGGGTGGACTGAAGCAATGTAGCTAAAGTGCCTTGCCAAGGACACAAGCGAATCTGCACAACGGAGACTCGAAAACCCGACCTTACGATTGAAAACCCAAACCTCAACCGCTGCGCCAAACTGCCACTACGTTGATGAATAGCACTGTATCTTAAATGTTTTACTGGATTTATTTCCATGTTTATATTTTCATTCAGTAAATTAACAAGTACAGTACCAACAGAGTGCCAATATCCATGACAAAAAACTACTTTCCAGTTGCATTTTTCTAAAGTGCATGTATTATTTTGATTTTATTCTCCCATTTGCATATTATTAAAGACGTGAATGAAAAAGGTTTATGGGTCATCACTGCTCCAATTCTCCCATTATAAAATACAACAACAATAGTCCAAAGGGTATAGAAACGCACTGATCCATTGAATATAAAATGGGCATGAAAAAAATAAAATGAAGAATTTCAGTAGATAGATTGTCACTACATTTACAGTATGTGGTGCTTACTGTATATTAACCTGTAGATTATGCAAGTTGAGTCAGCTGGGCTTTTCCTAGCCACAGGGAAAACAAATTAAACGTTCAGTATATGTCAATGCACTAATCTACAGTACTATAAATGTCATTAAAACTCATTAGTTTGTCCAAAAATGGTGTTGCCAGTTCAAGTATCAATAGTACAAATGTGAAACACACACTTTTTTGGTTATACCATACAGGTAATGATAAAAAAAAAATATGGAAACTGTTTCTTTTCTCAAACTGTACTTTTCTAAATCGATGTTTGTTGCTTGATTAATAACTGTAGTCCCAACCCCTAGGCCTCTGTGGTACTGTATGTACAGAGGTCTAGAATTTTTTTAATGAAAAATTCAAAGCTCAGATTTACTATTTGTGCAATTATGAATACTGTAGCTTATTTAGTGGGTAAAAGCTGTCCACTCAATTTAATTTTTTTTGACAAAAAAGCGTTGTATGCCCATATTATAGTCATGATGTGCCTATAAAATAATATTTTGGTCATGATAAGATGAGAACATGACCATATTTAGGCATGTCACATGTTTTGTCAAATAAAATTTGATAGTCTGGACAGGACTTTAGAATGTAAAGGTGTCAGATACACTTTCTACTTTATTAGTTGGAAAGTTTAGTATCAAATTCAATTAAATACTGTATATGATGACAAATAGCCTAAGTCTGGCCCTACATTTGATTCCGGTACAGTACATGCTGTCAGCCTTGGTAGCTCTATGGTTTTAACACGTTGGCTGCCAGCGACGAGTATACTCGCCCACAGGGTGTTGCTGAGGGCGCCAGGAACGAGTATACTCATTCTAGCGTTTATAACTTCTTTATTACACATTGTAGAACCACAGACTCAACAGCTGGTAGTTCGGGGAAGATACACCTAGACGATAACGTACAAATGACATGTATGTTTGTTGTGTTATGTTGCCGGTAGTATACTCGAGCAGTACAAGTGGGGGCGCCCTTTGAATATATACCAACCCATGCAAAAAGCAGACGAGATAACTCGCACTTGGCATAGTCAGTAAAATGTTTTATCACTGTGCCATCGACGAGTATACTCGCCCCCTAATATTTTCCCGCCAATTTATTAGACACTTCATTTTGATGACATATGACTAGATAAAATTTCAAAAAAGTATGTTTGTACATGTAAACTTGTTTTGGCACAAGGGAAGGAACCGTAAAAAAAGGTCTGGCAGTCAACGTGTTAAGTTTCTTAAGAAACTCCTCCTAACTTTCCATTTGCAAGTCACCTTCAATGGGAACATTCAATTTTATTTTTTTTTTCAGTTCACATTATCTATTATTTACAGTTAGCTTTAACTATATTGAAAATTTTACAGGTAATCCTGCCTCATTGATGTACTTTGTATTATTACTACCTCCACCAAAAGGAGGTTATGTATTCACCCCATCTGTCTGTTAGCAAGATTATGCAAAAACTAAGCAATAGATCATCATAAAATTTAGAGGAATAGTACATAATAATTTAAGAAAGAAATCATTAAATTTTTGGAAGAAAAGGCCTATGGACAAGGTCATGGAAATTTGATACCCTCGAGGATAAAAAAAAAAATAATATAATCGCCCATCATACACGTCCTGTGTACAGTATTACTGTATTCAGGCACAGGGCAAAGGTATGCACTCTATGGACTGACTGTGATGTAGGTGAAATAAATGATGACAAGTGCCTTCAGATGACCTACCAAATGTATACTAGTAATAATTTAAATCCTCTATATTGATTTTTTGGTATTTTATTGGTATTAATTTTAAAAAATAAAATAAAAGAATACAGTATGTCTTAAAGAGATCAAATTAGAAAAAAAATTAGAACCAAGCGATTCATTTTGAGGTATAGTATTCCACCTCAATTTAAAGCAATGGAACAAAAAATAAATAAAAAACAAAAATAATATATAAATTGGTAGAAATATTTTTTTTTTTAGTTTGAATATTTCTTCTGAATGTAAATTAACCAATCAATCATAACAACTGTAAACAGGTTAAAATATACTTACAAACTTAGTGTTGGGTTAATAATGCTGCCTTCCTCATATTAAACTTCAAGTTTCTACCATGGCAAATGCATATTTCCAAAATATACAGCATGTAATATGTATAGATGTTTTCTTTTACAAGATAAAATCTGGTAAAAAACAATAAATTCAATGCACGTTAGAATCATGATTGTGTGGCACAAAAACAAGGGATAATGAAGCTTTAATGTCATTTATTCATGTGGCTTACTATTTCTAGTATTCTTATAATTTATAAATGTCATTGTAAACATAGGCCTAATAAATATTTACAGATAAATATAGCATTGCAAATGTCGGTTTAAGAAAAACATAACAAACCATTAAATATTAACAGGTAAAACTATCCCCTACCAGAAATCATCTAAGAAAGTATATATTAATTTAGACAATCAGGATCTTGATCAATCAGACACCATGTCCATGCAAATCGCAGTGCATTTTTGCATTCAATTTTTAATCCCCCTGTTGGTATCTCTAATAATTCTAATAGTTAGCTAGCCTAGAGGGATAGTCTAGGCCTTGGCTAGGCAAGCTAGGTCTAGGATGGGTAGTACTACCCTACCCTAGGCGTAGTAGTAGGATTACTAGGCTAAGCCTGTACTCTACTCTATTCTACGCCTAGCTACATTAGGCCCTAGGCCTAGTAGTAGTAGGCCTAGTACTATAGTATTAAGCGGCCTATAGGCCTAGGCCCTAGTAAGTAGGCCTAGTACTAAGAAAAGATAGGGTTGGACAGCCTACTTATACAGTAACTACTTTAGTTTAGGCCTGGAACTAGTTACACTATGCACTCGTATACATGTTAAGGAAAACTAGGCATATGGCATAGGGGCATAGGCCCTAGACTAACTATTCTAAGTAATAAGAGGCATGTCATATCGTTTCAGTTGGCAGCAGCCTGGGCAGTGTGTAGTGATCGCGAAGCATGCAAAGCAGTCTCCTACCTACTCAATCGAGTAGGCCTAGGACACTAGGATCCTGAAATCGTTCACTATTCTTAGGATTTATTAACATTTTGGCACACATTAAGTTACCTATGAATAACAAATACATATGTATAATCTTACGATTTCGTGGTCCTCACAAACTAAAGTTATCTTAATGAAAATATTTATCACCCGAAGACCATCACAGCTTCCGGATTATTAGAGTCTACAGTGCAGGTACAGTAATTGCCAGTTTTGTGTCAAACTTGTTTTCCCAATCTCTACACCAGGGTTGCCAGATAGCCGACAGGCTTCACGGCCAAACACACGCCATCTCTCGGCCAAATTCGGCCAAACTTTTTTTCGATATTGGCCAAAATTCGCCCAGATTTTAATCCGATTAGAAGACAACAGTGGATACATAATATTCATTTAAAATACAAACATTACACGAAAATCAACTGTCATTTGTTTGAAATTGGAGAAATTAAAATGATATACACAGAAAAATGTTAATCTTTCACTGTTTTTATTAATCACCATAATTAAATACATCATGTTAAATATGTTCTATAATTAGTTGCTAGCATGTAGGCCTATTTAAAGTCACATTATTAAGATCGATCTAAATTTGATTTAAATGTACTAAATAACATACATTGTAGTCGATCTATAGCAATAATTTTAAAGGCCTGTTATAGAATCTTCAATGACAAATCTCTCTTTAATTAGAATGAAAGTTACATTAGTAAGAACACAAGCCGATGTTAAAACAAACCTATGAAAACTTTAATAGGGCCTAAATACTTTTTATCTAAAACTTCCTAAATTCGCCTCGGAATGATATTGTTGCAGTATACGGTACTTAAAACAATAAATCAATGTCACTATCAGAACTACCTTCTTCATGATTCTCATATACAACCTAACTCCAGAGTAACTTCGAAGAAGTCTCAGCAACACTTGCTTGAAAAAAAAGTCGACTCTGGACAATACGCAGTATATTTTATTAAGAAATAGTCGGCGCACAAAGAGATATCAGATAAAAAACTGAAAACTGTTTTTATAATTAATCACCAGCTAACATCAAAATATTAAATATTATGATCGATCTAAATTTGATTTAAATGTATTAAATACCATACATTGTAGTCGATCTATAGCAATAATTTTAAGGGCCTGTTATAGAATCTTCAATGACAAATCTCTCTTTAATTAGAATGAAAGTTACATTAGTAAGAACACAAGCCGATGTTAAAACAAACCTATGAAAACTTTAATAGGGCCTAAATACTTTTTATCTAAAACTTTCTAAATTCGCCTCGGAATGTTATTGTTTCAGTATACGGTACTTAAAACAATAAATCAATGTCGCTATCAGAACTACCTTCTTCATGATTCTCATATACAACCTAACTCCAGAGTAACTTCGAATAAGTCTCAGCAACACTTGCTTGAAATTGGATTTGACATTAGACACGAATGATCACATCGAGCATTTTATGGCACTTCACATAAAGAAACACTGCAGCGCCTATACAATTTATTACATTTTTTTCAATTCTCAACCAAAAGAGATATAAACCTCCACTAGGTTGGAACATAATTATACAAGGAACACTATATATGGTACAAACTTAAAATAAACTGTCTTCATAAAATTTTAAACGAGAATAAACTTCATAAAAAAATATATATATTTCATCCGAACATTTTAAATTATTAAATGTAACTGCTAATCTTTTAAACTCAACTTGAGTTTATTATATTCTCCCCCCCCCCCCCCCCCCACCTACATTAAGCGTTTAGTGCGAGTGCGACTACGAACTTTCAATGTAAGGTACACGATTAGAATCAAAGCTTTTGTACAAACAGGACCGTAGCCACGAGAATTGAAGTAGTCAGGTTGCGAACTAAGCGCGAGCACTGATTATTGGGGTTAGGGGGCCGCCAAGGGCCACAGGTAGGGGTTCAGGGTTCCTGGGCCATTAAACCATTAAACTGTAATATTATTGTTAACCATTAAACTGTAATATTATTAACATTAAGCCATTAAACTGTAATATTATTAAAAGATTTCAATATACAATATTTGATAATGTACTTGAACAGGTTTCTGACTATAGGTATTTAGGAGTCTTTATGGCATCTGATCTAAAATGGAATAAACACATTGCTCGAACTACTAGCAAATGTAATAAACTTGCCGGATTCATTAAGAGGTGTGTCCGTTGCAATGATAAAACTGTTTCCCTAAATTATTTAAGTCTATTGTTATGCCAATAATTGAATTTGCCTCTCCTGTTTGGTTTCCTTTTCAGCAGAGCATCATCAATCAAATTGAATCTGTCCAGAGGCGCTTTACAAGATCTTGCTTTCCATATTATTTTCAAACTCAATTTGATTCACGACCAACATATGAAGAAAGTTTGCTCCACTTAAAACTTCCCACAATTTTCAATAGACTAAAATATATTCGTGAAAAAATTCGTTGCCAAGTGCCTATGGTCAGATTTTCTCATTGATGATGCTCTGTTGCCTGTTCCTGTTGCCCGTAGAACTGAGAAAATTGTTTTTAGACATGCTAAGGCCCGTACGAATGCATTTTTTTTTACTCTGTTTTTATCTCATTCCCACGGATGTGGGATGAGATCCCTTCTTCCGTTACTGATTTATTTCTTTTTGGTGATTGTGCCTTTTCTCTGCTTTGTCTGCTTTTTATTGTAATTAAACCCTGTTTGTTTTCTGTTCTAGTAATAGTTGGAGAGTCTTTGCATTGTGAATTTGTTTGCTTTTTGACAATCCGCCAGAATAGTGCTAGGTTTGTGATGTTTGTTACAATTCTGAAAAATAAATAAATGAAATGAAAATGGTGATGAGGCCCGGTGCACAAGAGATATTTAAAAAAATCAAACAAACTTTTGTTCTAAAATTTGCATTTTATTGTTGATCAAAATACCATGATTTTCAAAGAAGTTCAGATTGTACATACATATATTTAAAAAAAAAAAGTATTGCACATTTATTTAAATTTGGCTGAGAAAGCAAGTTTACGCAGTAAATCCGCTAAGCCCCGCCCCTTGGATATTGTTGCTAAGGTCCCACAAACCAAGAGTGTTAAAAAATACGAAAACACGTGGGTTTCACGTGGGTTTGTGGGACAATATGTGTGACTGTTTGACACGCACGTATTCATAGCCGTGTTCTGATTGGTTAGTTGTTAAGTCTGATTGACAATCCTGAAAGGTGCATTAAAAAAACAAAATTGAAATACAAAAGTCTAATACTAATATATATGCCTACAGAATTTATACAAAACCAACAATATTGAAAGAACAATAATAATGATATTTTATAGCATTACCATATTTGATCTAGATTATGATACTTGTAACACATGGTCATTAAAGTCCATAAATATTGCATAAGCACGTGCACACACTCTACAGGGAGTATCATTCTGTGCATCTGTAAATTTGTCACAGACAGATATTATTAAGGTCCTCATGATTTATACTGATACTAGTACGTGAAGAGACCAATTGCCTATCAAATGCTAAATGGACATGAAAGCACATTCAAATTGAAAAACACTGATATAAAAATACAAGCAAATGCAAGATGGTTTGGTTATTTGAATACACAATATTATGCAATAAAGATCATTATTGTCCATATGATCATTATAATATGATTATGATAAAAAAAATACTTGCATTTGATTGTCTAGAAATAGGCTTATATTTTGTGCAGCTGCATACTTATAATCTATTATAAAGACGAAACAATATATCTGGCAAGTCATAAGAATCCAAAACTTGTTACATTTTCCCAAGCTCAATGACCAGATCTTCCTAGCGCTTGCTTCTCTCAACTTGGGAACATTACAAATGCACTTTGTATGTTAAAATGGAAATGAGTGGTGAAGGACAAAACCATGGAGAACAGAGCATGCAGTGGCGGTGTCAGCGTCTCAAATCTGTGGGTCAAGAGAGGGGCAAGGTACAATTTTGGGGGAGGGGCAAGGTCCCCAATGACAGCAAAGTAGGTGTGGTTGGGTGTCGATTAAAATGTTTCTGAAGTGGTCCAGGTCGCAGAACCCCCCAATAAAAACAATTTAGGGGTTTCAGACCCTTATTTAATCGATTTTATATACAGATGATATAATATGTATAAAATACATATAATTTTTTTTTTCTCCCTGACGAATTGTGGTTTTTCTTCTCTTCGGGGTGGGGGGAAAACTGGGGTGGGAAAAACTGAGAGCATGTAACTTAGGGAACATCTTTTGGAATAATAGAAAATTGAAGTGGAAGAAAATCAGTAGCACACATTGAAATATGTGGCACAGGACTGCGGTATGTGGCGGAAATTCAGTGGACTTTTCCGCTAAGTGCCGCCCCTTGGACATTCTTGCTAAGGTGCCACAAAACGCAGAGTTCTCAAGTACTACGGAACGTCCGTAGTTGCCATGAAAATTTTGCTGAATTATGGCGTATTACGGAAATAGACAGACACTACGCAAATTTATGTTTGTCCTGGACCCAGAAATGGCTCTACACGTTGTCTGACGTCATTAAATAATGAAAGCTGAAGACATAGTTACGGAAATTCATTTTAGGGATTTTGGGAAGTCTGAAAATGACAGTGTAAACATAATATATGCAAACATGTGTGTTTGTGGGACAACACATGTATTTGTAAGGCATGCACATATTCCTGGCTGTGTTTTGATTGGTCAGTTGTTAGGTATGATTGACACTTCGGAAAGGTCTATTACAATACATGCATAGTGCATTGATTTTGATCAATATTTTTGTTGATACGTTAACATAGCTGCAAACTTTATAGTCACATGACCTCAAATTTGTTATTCACATGACCATCTGGACTGATGCTGGAAGAAAACAGAAAGAAAAATTATTAGAATTAGAATTTGAATTGAATTGAATTTGAATATTAGTCATGCTCAGATAGTTCCTCTACAATTTTCAGGAAAGAGCCAACATATTTGATGGTTACAATTGTGGATCCAGAGATAAGAAAATATAGGGGGCCCAGGGAAGGGTTTTTGATTGGATGGCCCACCAGATCACTAGGTCTGTGAGTAATATGAAGTAGCACTGTGAAATCAGGACTGCAGCAAGACAGAAACTTACAGTTACCTTGTTATTTTCAACACTGTTCATTCTGTCCTTGGTAGTATTCCCATCACCAGACTGAAGCCCTTTATTTAACCCTTGCACATATTTATCTGCAGCCTGGCTTGACATTTTTGATTGTCCATTTAAGAACAATAAATACTGTTTCTGTATGACATCAATGCTTTTATCAGCATGCAAGGTACCGCTATTGGTGACCAACAAAGGATTCTTGCAAGTAGAAGTCTTCTGACTGTCCGCTTGTGACAAAATTTTATTATGGAGGCTGGGAACCGCATTACTCTTTGAGTAATGAGTATGGTTTTTATGACATTTAGAATCACTTGTGCTGACCTTCCCAACCTCCTGGCATTCGAAGCAAGTACACACATCAGACCCGTTGGTCACAGGCATCCGCAGGTCTTTTGAATAACCAATGAATGAGTTTGGCCGCAAGATTTTCTCAGTGAGTTCTGTAGAGCTACTGTGCTTCTGCCAATGAGGAAAACCGCTGACTTTGGTCAAAGCAGCTGGTTCTGACAGGATCATATTCTCTTTTGGGTTTTGCTGATTGAGAATCATTTTTTGTAGTTTAATTGATTCAATGTTGTAAGTCTGACCACTAGATAAAAGTTTGGTAGTATCTTGTGCTAAAGAAGCAGGCCCTCTTAAAACTCCAGGTCCTGCATGTGTGTATGACTGCTTAAAGACCATCGCACCACCTGTTGAAGAATCCAGATTATTCGGGTCTGCTAACTTATATGGAGCCTCTTCTGTGCGTATCTGTATTTCTCTTGTTAAAGCCACAAGACGTGCATACTCTTCCTCCTCCTTACTTAACACTTTCTTGCTAGCATCATTTACATTGACAGACACCATTCTCTGAAAATTAAATAAAGCCAGGTAGAATAGTAACAGTTTAGAAAAAACAAATATTCTTTGCATTTTCTTTTTTTTTTAAAGAAGCCATTTCCATTTCAATTTTGATGTTTAAGCATTCATTGCCATTGATATAGAATACAACTATCATTTAATGAGACACATCGTAATGACGACCAACATACCTTCGCAGCACGTTCACCCACACGTTCACTCGCATATGTGGGAATACCACCGTTACTACGTCCAATGTAGCGGTTTACAAATGCCGGATACTTGGGTTTTAAGAAGCCATTGGATATTCTCCCTGAATTTGAACTTGGTTTGGTTGCCTACAAAAATAAGTGTCAACATGTAAAACATCGAGACAAAGTTAATATGCTTTAATAAAATTATCAGTTTATTTTATCAGGGGCAGATTTAGGGGCTGACCCCACTCTTCGAAAATGAAAAAAAAAGGAAAAAGAAAAGAAAGAAAAAGAAATATTTTATTGTAAAAAACAACAAATTTACGGGGACATGCCTCTGGACCCCCTAGGGTAGTGTTATTTATTACACTAATGTTAAAACAATTCAGATATTACACAATACTATATCACTAGTTATCTTTAATATAGTTTCTTATTATACTGCATGTATATGCAATCCAGAAACATGAAAGAAAATGTATGCACTGTAGGCTTACATATCCACAGATTAATGAACAAGCAGAGAGAAAAGTAATATTGTTCACAACATAGCAGGTTGTTGACAGAGTAAGTGAATGGTTGGACAGAAAGATAAATAAATGGACTGATGGATACATTATGCCATTGGGTGAATGAATAGATGGGTGGATGAATGGACAAAAGAATGGATAGATGGGTAGGTTGCTAGAGAGAGGGTTAGTGGTTGGGTGAATGGAAGGATTAATATTAAATGATGGGTGAATGGACAAATAGGTGGATGAATGCTGGATGGATGGATTGGTGGATGAATGGGTCAGCGGATAGAAAGATGAACAGGTTGGTGGATGGCGGGTGTACAGATGGACAAATGGATGGTTGGGTAGATGGAAGAGCGGGTGAATGGGTAAATATGAGGGTGGAAAAATGAATGAATCTGGGTGGATGGGATTCATGCAAGGATAAATGGGTGGACAGGTGAATTGATGATGTAATACTGGTATACCTCACAACTTAATACATACTCTACATAATATATACATATTATATGTCCATAGATAGACGTAAACATGCTGACAGTTTGATACACAATAGTAAGATTTGAACAATGTTAACATTTATTTTAATGTGTATATGAATAACATAATTAAACATATGAAAAATCATAAAAACCATACTACTGTTACAAAGATTATGTTCACATAAATTGTTATTACTCTCATCGCTGCTGCCTCATTGCCATCATCGTAGTCAACATCATTATCATACTCATTGCAGTGAATTATGTGCCAGGTAACAACATTGAAGTGAATTATAATGCATCTGTCTCAATTAAAATCCCATGTGTGAACAACAAACGATATGTGCTATTAATCAATAAAACATCTTTCCATTAGAAGTGCTGGTTAAACTTTAAAATATAATGTAGAAAACTCATAGAAAGTTTAATATTAACAAATAAAAATCAACTATGAAATATAGGTAACACATAGTTATATTTCATTATAGACAACATTTGCTGCAATATAAACTGAACAAAATGTATGCATGTTCAATGAAAAAAAAATAAACAAAGAATGGCAAATGAATCTGAAAATTACAATAATGTATAAAATGTATACATAAAAATTGTTACTATATTTAATTCATATCTGAATAAGTAGTACCTGCAGTGAAGTATGCAGTGAAGTATGCAGTATATTCATATTCAGCAAAGCACAAACATAATGAAGGAAAAAACCATTACTGATAGCAGTCCCAAATGTCATATGGACAATAGCCAATCAGAGTGAAGAAGATATCAGACGTTTACATAATGGTAGCAGCCACAACTTCTGGGTCCCCAACAGCAAATGTCTAGGGCCGTCTAAGACTCCGATGGGTTTGAGTGATTTGGTGCAAGTGGGGATCTAGGAAACCTCCATCCAGAAGGTACATCTGTTCATTTTTTATCATTCTCTTAATCTATTTTTTCATCCTAGTGGCCAGGGCTTCCACAAAAGCCTAGGGGTGACATTGGACCTAAGTGGGGGTCAAGTGATGATCAAATGTTGGGGTCTGAGTAGGGTCTTTGAGCAAAGGCCCCATAAGCTGTAGTAATTAATGTATAGTAGTCTAAACAATTATTGGTACAAAACAAATGATGATTCATTCTATTTCATTTATTTTTTTTTACCCAAATCAAGTGGCAGCCTCTGCGGCCTAAGCCCCAGGGCTGTCCTCCTATGGGTACTACTGGCTTAAAACAAATCAGAGGTGGGAAAATTTAAGAATGTTTAGCACATTGTCAACAAGCATGTCTGAATATAATGAATATAAATGAAGCTGCAACTTTGGATTAAAGCCGATCAAAATGTGAAGAGCTCAGGATGTTTTTTTTCAAAAGGCATTATGAAAGAGGTTTCAGATGACATGCACAAGCAGGACTAACTTTAAAGCACTCCTTAAAGAAATTAAATGAAATAATATAACTTAATTTTATATTAATGAATTTCATTTTGTATAATAAAATAAAGTATTGAATTTAATTAATCAATTAAATTAATTAAAATGCTTTTAATTTATCAAAAATATTAAATTTATTAAATAACTTTAACTAAATTAATGATAGGAAATTAATGAACAATTTTCATGCAGTAACATTTGCAATATGAATGGGGTCTGAAGCAGCACATTTAAAAAGACAGTGAATTTCAAATCACATATTTCTCCCTTTTTTAGATGACGATGACAATGGCTTTTTTTGTGAACTGTCCAATAATAAATGAAAGTTTTACCCCGAATGTGTGAAACTGAGCAACTGGAAGGCTCCTACAGAACTTGGGATCTTTCTGAAAATGTATTAAATTTGTACAAATGCTGATTCTGTAAATATATTCTTTTGAATATAAAATGATTGTGAAATTTTCTTAGTAGCTGTACTGGAGATAAAAAAATATAGGAATATTTCTTGTACACTAAAAAAGACATATAAACCTAAAGGATAAAAATAAATATAAAACCACCCCCACCCCATCCACATAGTGTACTGTACACACATGCATTAAACAACACTCACACACAAACACACACACACACACAAACACACACCTAATGTATGCATAAACCAGGACACCTCACACATTAATATCTCATTTTCCTACATAATAAAGGCCTTCACCAGCACACATACATGAACTTCCCCAACACACATACCACCATTTCCTCACACACATACAGACTGTAAATAACTCCATATTATATCCTATATACTGTAGTCCCAAAAAATAAAAACCTGTGCTTCTTCTCACTCTGTATCTTTTGTATTAAACCATAAATATATTATTTCTCCATATGTATTATCTAAGTATTAATATCAATGAAACATAAAAACTATTTTTAAATTAATGTGCAATGAAATGGTATTAAAAACTTGCAACAAGAAATGACCATTGACCCTAGTACATATTGATCACGTCAATCGGTATAAAGCAAACCACACTTGTGATATGTCAACGCTGAATGCATTATTAGATCATTAGATAGAAACGCAATAAAAAACAAAAGGCATTTATGAATTACGTGGTTGGTAGAGACCTGCGATTTCTTCCAATATTCTCTGACGTTTTTCTGCGAGAGTGATCCTTCAATGGAGTTTCGAACATGGCTGATACGGATCAGTTTGTGCGGGGTAAGCCGGGGAAAACTACTGTAGGTCTGGTGGTCTCCTGGCCCTTTAGTAAACTTTTTGTGATTACCAGTGGGGTCGGTGCTCTTGTCTAACTGTGTGGATAAACCAAGCGTTAGCCTAAACTGATGCCGAACATCCTACACATTAATTGTTGACAAGTTGCAGTTAAGTCTCAAAAACCAGACAATGAAAACACTATGATAAACCAACTTTAGAATGAGAAAATCATCCATATACACAAAATATACCAACGAATTACTAGTAACAATAGAAAGTAAAAAATATATATATTTAGAAGACAAGAAAATGATAGCACAGAAAGAGACATCCACACTAACCAGACGACAAAACTCATCACGAAACAAATAATTTTAATGCTAATAATTTACTCAGAAATTTAGCAAACAATAAAATCTAGACATTTAGATACAGAACTACTAAAATTAGCCTGGGAAAATAAAACCATTCACATAAAACAAAAAATATGAAAAGAACTGATAATGATAGAAACAACAAACACTATAGTAGGCATGCTGCTTTTAAACAAAGTAAATTCTAGTAATAAAAAATGACATTTACGCTAACATAACTACATAATAAAGCATATAAACTTACAAAATTTCAAAATGAAATATATATATATCATTATAGTAGTACTTGCAACATTAAATCATCATGTATATGTATCATGTGTGTTGGGTGTACATGTATGTGTGTGTGCATATTATTATATGTAAGTATACATGTATATATATACATATCCATCCACATTCATATATATTTTATACATATACATATATCATGGTACAATAAAGAGATCAATTCTAAACCATCTCTTAAAGAAGAGCAAATTTGCAAATGTGAAAATAAAGTCACCCTAACCAAGATTTGAACCTGTGCCATTCTGCTGTCGCATCTGCATAATATGTAGACTCCAAAAAAGGGAGTTAAAATCCGATTAAAGTAACTGATCTTTTGCGCAAAGGTAGTTGAACAGCACTAGTTCTAAATGCACTACATATACCCCATACCTTTTTTAATTTCTGCTTTGTACTTTTTTGTAACTCTGGGAGCATCTAGAAAACAAAATAAGAACTACATATAAGTATTTACTGTATTTTTTTTTTCATTTTTAATTTTAAAAAAAAACCACATTTATTAAAAGGTATGTCCAACAATCAAAATTGGTATTTTAAAATCCTTAAAGGTTTAGAGAGAGAGCAGTTTAGTTTGTTGGATTGATAATCACTGTAACACATAAAAGTATCAAGATGATAACATTATTTTTGAGAAAAACTCCTTTCATGATTTCAACCCATGACCCACAGTTTGGATGCTGCACCCTTCAATTTTCCTATTAGGACACATATTTTTTTTAAGGTATTATATGTTTACTCAAAAAGAAGGCACCAAACAATTTCATTTCTTGTCCGATTGTTGTAGATAAGTTTGCATAACCTTTTTTTTTTTTGATAACATTTTATTTTCTTCTAGTTACTTACTGGCACACTCTTAGCTCTGTTCTTGGAGCGCTTTTTACTTCTTGATTTGGAATTTGTCTGCATGTCAACAGTGAACTGAGAAGCTGGCATCTCTGACTCAGACCCGCTGTCACTATCACTTGTCCTAAAATTTAAAGGATTATTTTAGTCAGTCAAAACTAATTCTTAGAGACTAACAATTTAGGAGGGATCTGTGATAGGTTCCAGTAGCAGATAATGGGCTAGAGGTGTTGAAGCTAAGGATGCCCCTACCCTCCAAATTAAGCATTACACTCAAGTATTTAATCCTAACCTCATATCACAACTTTTTGTCAGGTAGTTCCACCTCACTTAATCCTCAAGCAATTCCATTTAACATTCTTACCCACCTCTTCCCCTCCCCAGTAACCATCCCCCCACCCCTCATCACCCCTCATGTCAATACTTTTGGATATGCCACTGCTTAGGCTCTACTGTTTGTGACAGCTTAAAGCTTTTGTAGTAAAATTTATAACATGACTTACTCTGATTCTGCAAATTCCTGGATGGCATCAATGTCCTGGAGAATGCCGATGCAGCCTTCAAACGTCTCTTCCGTGATCTGCTTAATCAACGTCTTCACCTTCACTTGCCCATCTTTCAACAAATCACGTTCACAGCTACTACAGTATTTAATCCTCACCTCATATCACCACTTTTTGTCAGGTAGTTCCACCTCACTTAATCCTCAAGCAATTCCATTTAACATTCTTACCCACCTCTTCCCCTCCCCAGTAACCATCCCCCCACCCCTCATCAGCTCTCATGTCAATACTTTTGGATATGCCACTGCTTAGGCTCTACTGTTTGTGACAGCTTAAAGCTTTTGTAGTAAAATTTATAACATGACTTACTCTGATTCTGCAAATTCCTGGATGGCATCAATGTCCTGGAGAATGCCGATGCAGCCTTCAAACGTCTCTTCCGTGATCTGCTTAATCAACGTCTTCACCTTCACTTGCCCATCTTTCAACAAATCACGTTCACAGCTACTAGAATCACTCTCCTTCTCAACATCAGTTTTTATTCCTCCAATGAAAAGAATAGACAAAATCAACATCAAAATGAATATAATCATATAATAAAAGTATTAATAATTTTTACAAATTTCAAAGTATCACAACATAATTCTTGGCCAGTTACAGGTATAAGCAAAGATTGAGATATCAGTTTAAAATCTGCAAAAGCACTATACAAATTTTAATTTGAAATGTTCTTGTTTTAAATTTTGGAATGGTGAGAAGGTAAGAAATAGTGTAAGAACCAACCTTGTTTACAATAATCAATTAGTTGATCTGGCATCATACCACGTTCCCTTAGCACCTGATGGGTAATTTCTCTTGTCATTTCCAGGATTAATTCAGAATGTAAACTTTAAAGAAAAAAAAACATATTGAAATTAATTGTTTTTTAAAATTTGCTTTGGTATTTCTATGTTTTCAAACAGACATGCAACAGTCTTGTAAATTCACTTTCTAATGATAATTTAGGTAGGTTTACTTCAGGGGTGGGCATAAAAATGGATCAGAGGGCTAAAGTGAATTTTTGATTTAACAGACGGGCCACACCCAAACTTTGACGTTTCCAGTGCACTTCGCAAAACCCTCATACACTTCTTTTATACCACGTTATTCTCAGTTTTAATATTACTTTTTTACAGATAATCGGTGTCAGGCCATAAAAACAAGTTTTTGTAACCAGAGATGGTTGACGGGTTGGGTTTTTAATTTATTTTTGTTGCTGGGCTGCAACAAAATCAACGATGGGCTGCATGTGGTCTGGTACTCTGCCCACTTGTGGTTTACATAAATAGTGCTAGGAAATTGTAGACCCCTTTAGCTCTCCATTACTGTGATTGGTAGTGATATGGGACAAACTCATGTATATCTGGACATGCCTATCATTACAACATAATAAATCAATGATAAGTACGCTACATTACCTTTGATTATTCTTAGCTGTGTGGTATTGTAGTATAACTTGTCCAAACTGATGGCCAAGCTCTTCAAAGTCTTTGAGAGTGAAGTGTCTCGATGAGGATGCAGCGTTTTTGCTACCACAGAATGTGGCCTCGAGGGTGAAGCTGTTTGCTATGCCTAGTTGACGCCACATCACCACACGCCCTGTCGACTCCTTGCACTTTCGAACTTGAAACTTACATCCTCTAAAGGTGAATTTATCAGGTGCCTTAAAGGAACAATTTAATTATACTTCAAATATGAGCATCAGTAATTTAAACTATCATGGGTAGAGCAAGCAGTGGACCTCTAAGAGCTGAAGAAGGAGGCTCATCTAGATAATCAAAAAAGGGGGCAACAGTTATTTTGCAACAAGAACAAATTCTAAAGTCACCTAGATTAATAACTGAACCTTCCTCAAAATCATTTATTAGAATTACAAAACCTTATGGTATTTATTAATACTGAGATCTCACTGTTCCTAATGGAATTAGAAGCCAAGATCCAAAAACCCTGTAATGTAAATTTAGTACAGCACTTACCTTTCGTGCCATCAGCCAAGGGAAAAGACGAAGACACAGAAAGTTGCCAGGATCAGCTTGAGTTCCTTTAGCATCACATCCATATATAAACACATTATGTTTGCGACTGTGGCCATGTAGATCACAGTACACAAGCACCTGGCAAAACACATAAACACTGATGATCAGTTTTTGGTAATCCTATTCTGATATTTGAATAGCGCCCTCACAATTACAGGCTACTTAAGTGTTTTACCATTATAAATATGCTCTATATTGTGGTTTTTACATTGTTTTCCCTACTTGTTACTTAAGTGTGTTTTGCCATTGATTTTTAAAAAAATATTCTAACTTTTTTCCAAAAAATTATATTATTTTCCAACATAGAATGATAAATAAAATAAAACATTTTTTACACAGCATCTGGCATTTTTAGAATGCATCAGTAGTGTACTAATAAAAAAAACAATTAGTAAACACCTGATGTTATAAATGTGAAGTAATAACAAAAAAAGACACACAGTTACTCGAAAACTTACCTCTCGTTGCCGTGAGAACTTTTCCAACATCTGTTTAGTGTGCCAGACAGTTGGGAAGGATTCTTTACGAGGGTTTCTATAATTCCGATTGAGATCTCTTGCAGCTAATGAACACCGATAATTACCAACTATCACCCCATCGGGATTCAACATTGGCACAATTTTGAATATAAAGTTCCTTCGTAATTCCTACAAAATGATAATAAAATAAAAACCAAATAAATATCATATAAAATATATACAAGAACAAGTATACAAGAAAAAAAAATTGAATAAATATAAATGAGCTGAATATAATAAAATAATTATAAAATAAGATATATTTTATAAAATATACATAAATAGAATTTTTAAAAAGCATAAACTTTTTTAACAAAATCTTAAGAGGGTTGTCCATCCAACCGAAGCTGATCAATTGCAACCCATAGAAATAAATAAAATAAATGGAAACTCAAGGTGAACAAAAGTGGAATTAAACAAAGGACCAAGGGTCTGAAAGGATCGCCACAGTTCATTGCACACATGTATGCTACCACTTGATTTAGGATCAAACTTACAGAAGGGAAACATAAAAAGATTAGATGGAAATAGATCAAGGTAAGAAGGGAAGAAATAATGAAATCTACCTGAGCCTCTTGGTCTAAGCTAGTGAGGAAATCAATGACTCCCTTCATGATCCAACTTGAGTTTGTTTCTCCTGGGTGCACCCTTGCTGTAATTACAACGCCCTTTTTATTTGAGTCTGCAACATGCTCCCCTGTTTTGAAAACACAATTTCTAATTATGAGAATCTTGAAAAACATTGTGTAAATTGAATTGAAATGTTTAATATAAGAGGTTTGCCATCCCAACTCTAGCGTAATACCGCTAAATGTTAAACTGAGCAATTACCATAAGATTGTGGCAGTATTGTATACTTTTAGTACACAGAAGTCGCAATACTTTTTCTCACAACTTTGGCAATAGTAAGTCAATTTCAGAATGACCTATCATTTTAAAGCTTATAAAGTGGAGAATGTGAATACATCAAAAAATCTATTTTCTTGTTTCAGTCACTGACACTGGTTTTGGGATGGCAATCCCCATATATAGTAAACTTAGATTTACCGTAAAGGTCTGATAATTAATGTCATATTGTAATGAAGAAAAAACTTTGTTTACATAAAGAACAAAAGGTTTTTCACTGAAATACATGGTTCTAATTTCTACTTTGATTCAGTTATTTTCACTCAAAATGTGTCAGTGCTTTAAAATCTTCCCCAAATAAATATCTACAGTCTGAAACTTACCATTAGAAGACGAAATGGTTAAAAGAAAGCAACTATTTCCAGCTCTTGTCTCACACATCACTTCCCGTTTTAAATATCGCCCTCTATGTGGATCAGCAATGATTGATTCGATGTGCTCTTTAAGATCAGTGAAAGTGAAAGGATAGCAATGCGCCAAGTAACAAGTGTCATCTTCATACTCAAATTCCTAAAAAGATGGCAAGTCGAATAAATTAGATGAGTTAAGAGATAAGAACAAATAAATGGCAAAATTAAATTAATAGAATAAAAAGTGGAATTTGTAGGTAGAAAGAAAACAAGGCTGAAAATAAAGGATTAAAACTCCATTAATATCATATCAACTATTTCAAATGATGATACAAATGTTTAATGATAACTTTAACACTTTGAGACACATCAAAGGTAACTTGACTTCTAACCTACCATTTGCCATTCTAGAATGTAGTATGTCATTTCAGGATGAAGAAGTGGATTTCTTGTACAGGAATAATTACGCCTATACCCTATATGATGTCCACAACGGATCCAACCTACTTTCTTCATTTGGGCTTTCTGCTCAGAGTATAAGAGGGGCCGCATACCTGTAAAATAAAAAGTCTTTTTCTTGAATTGAATATCAATTTGAAGGTGGCATTCTCATGTCATCTTTTTGGATGGAACATTTTATCCTTCTATCCATATTGAAATTTAAACATCCATTTTTCTCATAATTGTTTTATCTTCTAATTAGGTGAGTTTTAATAGATTTATTTATATATAATTTCTTGTTATTAAGTAAATGTAGTTTTTATGTATTTTATAATGCCCTAATCAATGGAAAAGATGCTTAATAACTGCTAAGTTTATTGATTGATCTTATCTTAAAAGCATTTATATGTCTAGCTGCACCTGCTGGTTGAATGTATGGAACTCTGATGCAATAACAGGTGATCAAATCATTATTGTACAAAATACCCTCCAGAGACAAATGGCGGAAGCCACATTTGGACTTAAAACTTTCTGTTTTTAAATATATTGTCTATTGTTCTGTAATTGTTACAAGCCTATTTGGATCATGATGATACTATAAACAAAAATAAAATCACAATGGTAAAGTCAAGGTTTAGTATTGTATATTTGAAGAATATGATCTTATGTTTACAAGGCTAAATATAATTTTATTATCTAAATACAATAGATAAAAGTATAATTTTTTTCTGTCATTCGTTCAAGGAGAAATACTGAATCCCAAGCCTTTTATTTCCACCCACATACAAATCTAATTACTGTACTAAATTGTGGGGAGAACCTTCACTAAATTGTTGTTGTGTCAGTAGAATTTCAATACTAAAATATTTATATATTGTATCAATATCCTTGTACCACCATATTATAAATATAATTATATAATTATTATATCAATTTTGAATTATTTTCGAGTATTAGTTGGGTTATTTTCCCATGATGCTTTATCACCATCAGAATATAAGGAACTCCAACAGTTTATTTTACCTACAAAATTTTTTGAAAAATGTTGCTGTGTTAATGGTTAACACCCCCACTCCCCTTCCTGTCTTTGAAAATCTATTTTTTAAAATGTGAAATTGTCTATTATATCCACTAAGAAATATATTCCCCCAATCCACTAACACTATCATAAAAATTATTCTTAACTCACTCACCATGGTTATACAGACTGTCGCGCTTGAGTAGGTTGACGATGCTAAATTTATAAGTTACACCAGGCACCATGTTTTGAATACGAAAGTAGTACCATTGAGTGTGACGGTTTGTGTACAAGTCTGTCTTTAAAAGAAGCTCATACTCAAACTGACCTCTGAATTGGAAATAAATTATTAAACATTGTCAAACATTATTATTATTATTATTATTATTATTATTATTATTATTATCATTATTATTTAACATTATTAAGACTGCAGTTTCAATGAATAACATTTTTACTTACACTCGTTTTGCTTGCCTCAAGTTACCAGACTCAAAACGTGACTCAAAAAGCAGACTTGAACAACAGCCATCTGGTACATCAAGTACAGTGTTGGTTCGGGATGAGCGTTCAGAATCATAAACAATGAGCGATCCATCCCACGGACGAAACCATTTGGTACGTTGATTGTGGACTGTCCTCCCATTCATGGGAACTAAAATATATTACAATACAATTCACAATTAAAATCATATTAAGCCACGATGTAATGTATTTACAACACCATTTTTGGTTAGTTTATTTTTTTTTTGTAAAATTCAGACGCTGTGAGCAACAATATATAGGAATTGTAAAATCTGATATAGCTAATTAATATAGACAGTGAGCGAAATTAACAATGACAAAATATTTTAAATTTAACTATTCAAAATTTCACCTAGAATATTATTGGTTTATAATTATATGTCAGCCTATAATGCATCATGCCTCTATACATTTCCCTAACACGTATGAAACAGTGCTGGTTTTGGCCTGGGGAATGCGAAAATTCAGAATGCAGATCTAAATCCCTAGTCCAATGTAACCTAAATCGTCATTTTTAGTATTTTAAAGCCCAATTCCCAATAAAATTTCACTAAAAGAAGAATTTTTTTAGAAAAAAAATGCATATGCATTACTCTAATTATTATAAACATGGAAAAATATTGGCATAAATTTTAGTTTTACGTAAAAGGATAAAAAAGAATGAGAAATAGATTATTTCTCATAGGAGATTTTTCTTGACGACGTCTTCGTTTCTAGGTTGTAGATCACATCCACTAGAATGCTCTCGCTTTTGTGTATACTTTATTCAGTCAATAAAGTACACCCTCTCTAATGAGATTAGTTTTTGTACTTCGCATCTCGTACACTGTGGTCAATTGAGTAGGCCTGAGATGTTTGTTTAATTGTCAAACCTCGGTCAGAATCGAATCACAGCCACAATCACTGCCACAATAGCTTCCAAAATTTAAAAAAAAAGACTACAATAGATAAAACTTGAAAATTCCATTCCACACCTACCACTGAAGTCTTCAGGCTCATCGGGCACCGTTCTCAAATGCGATGGTGTTTTACAAATAACACTGGGGTGACAAAGAGGCCAGAATGGACCATCCACAATACCACTAACTTTATCCCACACAGTGTACCGCCAGAAATCTTTCCTAGGAAATGATGATCCTTGAAGTGGTGCCAGGTAGTTTTTATTCTCAGCCTGGCAAGTCTCAGGCTCAATAAGCTTTGCGTCCGTGTTACTAGGCTCAGGGACTACCCCAGCCTTGCTGGTGTGCATCATGAATTTGTAGCAAAAGAATTAAATCCTCTGTTATTCTTATGAATGTTCCTCTTGACAATTACATAAAAAGTCATCCCTCAATGGTTTTGAAAATAAATAACAGCACGATTGTTGCCATGACAATCTACAAATTAGTTTCTACTTGTCTACAAACTTTTGAATATTCCCCATGAATACAAACATCTTTATACTGATAAGGAGGTATGCTAAGCTAAGCTGATCAAATATTGAACAGCCTGTCTAGAGTCTATATGCTGGGTATATTAGCACCTGAATCAAAAAACACATCAGACATTGATAAATAAACCTTGGTCTCGCGTAATTTTGTTAAGTGTGTGTACTTCTAATAATACTCATCCTGGTTGTGATGAATGTGTTTGAATCACTAGTTTTTTTCCTCCTCATAAAAATTGATAACAGTCATAGTGTTTATTGATTACTAAATAGGAGAACTTTGTGAATGACACTGCAGATTAGCACTGGGTGTTTTAAATTCCATCAAAACAAATATCACTGTGATTCTTTTTTAAAACGGTGATTGACGAGCAAATCCACTGAATAGCATATTGTAACAAACCTCCTTGATTATTACAAGGCTCAGTGATTCTTCTATACTGAATAGATGGACCTTATCCTTTTCGGCAGATACTGTTATCAGAAAGTAAACAATGAAAAGTACTATATGGCGTCCTCCAGGCAACCAAGTCAAAGTTCATTTCAATACGGTATTTGATATGATCGAGAACACATTGTTTGATAACAGCACAGCTATAATAACAGTTATGATACAATCCATAATCCATACACCAGCAAACTATAAATTCCCGGAGGAACAACATAAAACCGCTATCATCAATATAACTACCATGATGTAGAAAATCATGTTCCACCAATCTTGATGTTGTTTTTCCCCCCGTGAGCAATTTGTCAACTGAATAAAAACAACTTAACACGTTCACCTGCCTTTCCAAACAAACCTTTTGTCAGTTTGTGATATTACCATGGAGGCAGTTTTTAATGAGGCTTAGCATCTCTTTTGTACCTTCCTCTTATATAACTCTTTCTTCAGGCTATAATTTCTAACATAAGAAAACTAGCATTTACATCTGAGATATGGGAACGTTCATCTAAGTCCATGGTTCAGTACCTCCCTATTACTACACTCTGAATCATACAATACAGTACAATTTATAATAATATAATAAATATTATCATTATTATTATTATTATTATTATTATTATTATTTATGAAAGAATTGTTTTAATTTACAATGGAAATTTTTGCAAACTAAGAAGTTTGTATTCCACGACATAGATCGACAATACAGATCCATTACAGATCATTTTTCATTACAACATGGAGATTAACTACAGTATGCTACTATACATAACACAGCTATCCTACCCCGATACTGTACCATAATCAGCCAATATACACAATACCATTCATAAGAAACATGATGAATAAAATAAAAAAAACAACTTAATGAATGAGTTCATTATACATTGTATATATAAACATACAATGCAGGAACATGGTCTTTGCACACCAAGAAAGCTAAGCTTTCACAATGCACACAATCCCTTGGATATCAAACTCTAATGAAGGTTTAAGAAACCTCTCAAGTTGTGTTTGTATTTCGCACATCACTATACACCTACTGAGATCTCATTAACAACTTATTCAAAGCACATAATGAAACTACTTCACCGAGTGGAATCAGTTACCCGATAAACAAGTGTTAAGTTTGTTCTGATTGTTACTTCAGCAGGATTTGTTACTAATTTGAGATTCCTCTTTTGGTCCGTCAATGAACAGAAATGCTATTCATAGATCAAGCATGCATATATTATTCCGTCTATCACAAATAGCACCAAAAAAAGAACAGCCCAAACATTGGTGGAGCTGTCTGGTTTTTTGTTGTGTTTTTTTTTTTCTTTTGCGATTAAATTTTGTCATACCTTGTAAGTTGTATTTATGTCATCAAAATCAATGATCCATTAAGTTTTGTTTTGCAATATTTTCATTCATGTAGCAGTATTACCACATTGGCAGTAGAGTAGAGTACATTGTTATAACAACTCCCTGGTATATAAAGGAGGATGTAGGCATGCATGTAAACCCACCTCAGGCTCACGCATGAAAACCGACCTAGCAAGAAAATTACACTCAAGTACTGTAGTTAAAAATAAAAAATTACCTGATTCAACAATATCATCCTCAACACCCCCCTCCCCAGGTAGCTAAGCTGCTCTTAGTTATAAAAAGCATCACATTTAATAGTAGTTCCATCTATGTAACTGACAACTGTACTCTTGTATGTAATACATAAAACCTGACGTGACAGGTGGGAGATAAAAAGCAAACAGTGGCAACTGTATAAAATCAATAAAAATTGCAGTGGATGGATCTAGCAAGAACATGAAAGACAATGGAATTTGATTGACATTTTCATATTTGACTTTGCGGAAATGTAGAAAAAGATAAAAAGTATATGAATATAATCTTATAATAATAATTTATTAAAACATTAAAAAAATCATTGGAAATTTTATTTTTCAAATAAAAATTTAGCTTGGGTTTAATATAATATATCATAATACATTATGGCTATGTTCACACACACCATCTAACTGTTAGCACTGCCAAAATCCAATACGTGCTCACTGTTGCGTTCATACAAGAGAATCTTCGATCCAGATATAAAGAAGATGACAGTGAGATCACTGCCAAAAGGAAAGCGAAAACTGGAAATGCATACATCTGATTGGTTGATGAATGAATTAGGGCAACTTGCTAACCGATAGCACTTGTTAACCAATAGCGTATCCGCATCCTGGGAATGGTTAGAGCTAACCTATCGGGCATTCTCACACGTATGCTAATGGATAGCCCCCAATCTTAATATTAAGGTTCTAGTGTGAACCCTATGCTATTATTAAGATAATTCAAAAGTGATCATTTTTTAAGCAATTGTTGTCAATAATAATATAAAATCAGCATTGCAACATATTAAGTGGTTCACCAACTGCTAAAGCGGTGATGTCTCATTTCTTACCACCACTGCCACCAACCTGAACTAAACCTAATGTTACGTTCCTCTGTTGATAACAAAAGGTGAATGAACTACCAATAATGAAATCAGTAGATTCGGAGAACTTAAGCTACAAAGCCACAAGGTTGACCTAGCAACAAAAACATGAAAAAGAACACATTCTACTGGAATGATTTTGTGGAGTCAATGAATTATTATAAAGAATAACAACAGAGTAAAACAAGTTTATGAACTCAAGGAGTGATGGTAATTTCAGTGAGAAAAAAAGCAATAAAATTGTTTATGAATATAATGGTTAGAAGGTCATGAAATTCTATGTTCCTAAGGTTCTACTTGACTAATTTTACAATGTTATTCACCTGTTGCTGTTACAATAATCTGATTGTTCATATAACAATTTGGAATGTACTTGAATTTTACTTGTTGTTCACATTTTCAATTGTTATACCCTGAGCATGTACTGAATAGCCAAAGGGATTATAGGCACTTAAAGTTTGACTGGTAAACAAACAAAAAATTTCTGGTTAAATTCATCAATGAGAAAAAAATGTTTAACACATCAAACAGTATCACCGCCACTGGCAAAAGATGCCCTTCCTATAATGTAATTTTTTATATACCGGTAGTTGGTTATGACTGGTCGTATGAACGATGTGTTTTGATTTGATGATGACCATGTCTAATTTTCATTGTAAATTTTTTGAATTTAATTTTAAGCCCGGCACACCTGGCAGGCGGCCAATAAATCCTTCTCTATTCTGAGAGACCACTTGACGACAGGAGCGATCAGGTGATTGTCAATGGCAGTCTGAATGGATCATCGTTGAAAATTATCTGTCACACGAATTGTTGCGTTTGCAGTCTCTATGGAATCACATCGACCGACAACCATTGATGGTGTATGAGCCTAGCTTTACTTAATACTGCAAAGTAATTACAATAACATCTAGTGATTGCTCTTCATACAGTATAATGTGTCACTTATATTGTACTGTGAATTTTATGTAAATATATTGTCAATGAGAAAGACAATCTCCAGTGTAACAGCTTCTCTATCTTATGTTGCCTTTAAAAAAAGTATATTTTTCAATTATTCAAAACATTTGTTACGCTGGCTTTTTCAAGAAGCAGTAATGAAAAATAACACAAATCCTTTATGAAATATTTTATCAAAATACTGTAACAAAACACAACCTGATACAATCGCACAACTGGACAAGGAAACAAAATTAGTTATTCACTAAACCAAAATATCAGGATTTATAGTTGAAATATAAGCTACTAGGGGCAAGGGTTCTACATTACAGTAGTACAGTACAATTGAAACATTCTTGGAATATTTTGACATAAACAAACACTTGTGATTCATGTAAACTGAAAGATTTTTTTTTTTTTTTAATAAATTTCCATTATTTAATTACTTATTTTATTTTTATACAACAGTGATTCACAACTTGGTTAGAATAAAAATGCAATAATAATGAGTTGTCATTGATAAAAAAAAAAGGCCTGGTGTTATTGATACAGAGCATTTATATGGAGCTCTACAAAGCACACAGCATCTAAAGGGTGAAGGATTTGAACCCAGGACCCTGAAATTTGAAAGCAAGCGTAATAACACAAACTACTGTGTATTTTCACTCAATTCGATTAGAAATACAAACAATATGTTATCTATTATTAATTCAAAACTGTAAGGATTCCTGATATTTGAGGACACAATCTAGACATGCTTTGCCTATGTAGAACAGTATTTGCAGTTTTGAGCATTTTCTTCTGACAAACTTGGTTTTATCGAATCATAAATACTTTTCCGGGACTCAGAACCCTTAAAATAACATCTAACAAGTTCAGCATGCATTTAAGTAAAATCAAAGTATGAACAAGCTGACAAAAACGTTGGGTATTTCACACCTTGGTGTATACAAGACAATAAAATAAAAAAACTAAAAAGACTAAAAATAACCACTCACAAAAAAGGTTGTTATGAATGAAAACACTTATATTTAGTACTCAAGGTAAAAAATGCTGCAAACTCCATAAGAATTTTCTGTTTTCAATAATAAGAGTCTATTGAGAGTAAATACTCCTATACAAGTCTGGCCACATTGTTTGCCGCAATTAGTCCATTTTCTCAAAAGATAAAGAATGTTGAGTACTAGGAATACTCCCTAAGGAGAGGGGGAGGTTGCACATTGTGTGTGATGGACTTTGTATTAAATGAACGGGGGCAAAAAACAGACTTGAGCAATTCTAATATATTCATACCAAATCACTTATATCTTATAACAAGTACTCATTTTACACTAATGGGTGGAAAGAGACTAAAAACACAGATATCATAATGTCTACTAATGGACACAAGCGATTTGATCAACGTCAGTCTGAAACTGACTACTATTTGGTTGGGAACATAAAGAATTACTACTGCGTAACCATATCACCATGTATTGGAATTCCGGTCAACAGTCACTCGAATCTTCAGTGCTACACATGCATTGAAAAAAACTCATCAGAACTGGAATGGTGTAAAAAAATAAAAAGTTAGAACTTACCATTATCTGAAAGGGGTTCAAAATTCTTTGGCAGCTGCAAAATATGAAGTGGTTTTGGAAGGATAGGGGAATACTCAGGAGGCCAGAACGGACCATCAACTGTCGATAATACCCCATTCTCATCCTGGAACCAGTCCTTAGTTTTCCCGTTTTTCCTGTTCTGGTGACCCACAAAAGCCTGAAATTCTTTCTTGGTATATCTATGGTCATGTATACCGGTACTAGCTGACAGAGCAGTGGTTGTTACTGCTGTTGTCGTTGGCGATATCATCTGCATCATAGATTGCTGAGATGATGCAGAAGTATGGCTCATCCAGCTCATTTTTTGTTGCAAGTTCTTGAAATGACTGGACATACCCACTTTTTTTGTTACGACTCTGTTCGTTTCAATGTCATCGTCATCTGCGGTATGCTCTGAATCATGTATTGTTGTGCTTGCTATTTGGCGATACGGCGAGTATTTTTTCTTTGCACGTTTCTTAGCTTTTTGTGCTTTCATCTCCCCCGCTGCTGTTACAGATTGTGATCTATAATCAGAAAATATAATTAAATTTAAAATTGGAATATTATTGAATATAAATTAAGCTGGAATATATATAATATACCTCTTCATTATCTACAGTCTTGTTAATAAGTTTAAGTAATTTAATTATTTTGGATGTAATATATGTTTTGTTGAATTGAGTTGAATTCATTTAAAATGAATTTATTTAATACCTCCTTGAATTAAGCAACAACTGTACAGCTGTTGGATAAGATAAGTGAGATTGGGTGATGGGTCAATTAATTAATTTACAAATGCCAAGAAAAAATGATACCTCTGCACTAATAATATAATAGTGGTAATTTTTAAATATTGCTCTAATCAAGGCTTGTAAATCAAACTAGCCAAAAACAAGGGTTCCCTTCATCCATTTTGTTCTAAAACATTGAATGAATTTTTTGTCACTTACTGTTTAAACAGGTATATGACAAAGTTAATATGCAAGGCCAAACTGTCTATAGATAGATCATTAAGTTAAAAAGCACACCTGTAGGAGGTAAACATCAAAAGATAAACCCAACAGGTGGTCCAAACAAGTGAAATTTATCATTTAATCAATAAAAGATAGTACACCGTAAGTGTTAAGTAAATTCAAACAATATAATTCATTTTTTGAATAGCCTATTTTTGGTATATTATTTATTACAGGCTCATTGTAGCAATACACAGCAACTGCATTTAGGGTCATTTCCCAGAATATCGCACAATAACACCCAGCAGGTGACCAAACGTTGGAGCAGTTTAGGTATTCTGATAAAGTTGTATCTAAAAATTACCCATAAGACACAGATATTTTTGTGCTCAAATGGGCCCTAATTTAGCTCTCAATTGAAATTTAAAATGAGTTGAAATTTAAATGTATTTTAACATGGTGGTTACCAGGGACAGGAGTTCAAGTCCAACACAGGTCACTGAGGGTGCCAAATGTCCAAACTTGTCTTAACATACCACTATTGCGCCACGATTGGTGGCGCCACGATTTCAGCGACGAGGGTGCCCATGTCCCTGACGAAAAAGGTTGGCGTAGCTTAAAATCTCTCGAAAGTGTTCCAGGGGAAGAAACCCCCAAAAAATATGACAATTTAGGGGTTTCAAAAGCATATTTAATCGGTTTTGGGGTTTTTTAGAAAAGCATGTAATTTTTTTTCTCCCCGATGAATTGTGGTTTTTTTTTCCTGACGGGGAAAGCTCTCCCCGATGGGTCCCTGTGCTCCCGCCCCCACTGGCGGCACCTCTGGAAAGGACCCAGAAATAACAATCTAAAAAAAATACCATATGTTTGTTTGAGTTTCAATAAGCTGATGGGAAAAAATTTTCATCACGTCTGTGATGAAACTAGCAAAAACAACTTGACAGTCAACATGTTAAAGAATAAAGTTTATTTTACCGGTTAGCATGTTGCAATTGTTGCAACCGACGTATTTTAGCTTTCTCCCTATTGCGACGAATTCTTTCCAATGGTGGCGTATCCAAAGCCTCACGCACACGCTGGGCTATCTCTTGCTCAATCTGTTCCTGAATCTCTATCCGCCAAGATTCAGGTTCTAAAAAAAAAGAAATGGTGTTAAAATAGCAATGATAAAGCATGCTGTGGCGTACTCAGAATTTTGTAAAGGGGAGTGCTGTAAATAGAAATATTGCTTCCAATGGAAGGGGAAGGGGCTGATTGGGAGAACATAATGGGGTTCAGAAAAGGGGTGCAGAACATTTTTCTGGTAACATTTCCCCACTAAACCCTCCCTCAGATACACAACTGCCACTGTTTTAAATGATAAGAATCACCCATTACAAGCCCATAGCCAGGGGGGTTCGTTGGGTTCGAACGAACCCCCCTTTTTTATGAAATGCCCTTTCAACAAAGGCTGGCTACTCCTACACATTAGGCCTAGCCTAGAGCCTATTATCATTAAAAGTCCTACTTTAATACCCGATTGTCAGGCCTACCTAGTAACATAAAAAATTCAGTCCTTGACTCAGAAATGCCGGGATGGTGTCCGGCGGGGGATAGTTTCACCTGTGTGTGTGTGTGTATATATATATATATATATATATATATGATTATAATACGCTACAACCAACCATACAAATTTGTCTCGCTTCTTTTTGTTACTGATTGTCTTAAGTGAGTATAGTATGATACAACTTCCAAAGTGCTATATAAATAAAAAATAAAGAATAAACCATACTGGATTCTTTGGAGTTTGTATCATGCTACTGTTGTTAAA